GCCATCTGAGCTTAACATTAGTGAAGATCCGGTAGTGTATTCGCCTCAAGAAATTAAGAGTCTGCTTCAGCGTATCGCTGAAGGCAATCGTGCCACCGGGGGATTGGCTTTTGTGGCCAAAGTTTATGGAATTGCTGGTTAGTCATGGCAATCAGTGTTTGTCTCATTGTATCTTTAGATTTTGTTTCTACCAAGCTAAAGTTGGGTAAAAATTTTGCCATGTAGGCTGCGCTAGGTTTATGGAGTCATACTATCTAATTTTGGTGACAAAACGGCGGCAAATTGGATGCATATGTGGGCATGCGATATATGCTATTGATGAAAGTCAAATGATTAGTGTTCCACATGCAACTATTCAGTCTGATGTTGCGAATTCCAAAACTGAACTAAGGTCTGTTTCTGGGAGTTTTGATTTCCCTTTGAAGTTCGACTATGCTTCCATTAGCGAAGCTCGGTTCCTATTTCCAAAAAGTTATATTCTTACCGCACCTTTTATGATTTCAGAAGTTTATTCCTGTTTTGAGTTCTTTGTATTTGCTTTATTTGCAGGTACAAGAAGCTTCTGTCAAGTGTAGATTTGACAAAAGATTTCTTCTACAGTTACACTTATCCTATAATGCAGAGTTTACAGAAGAACGTTTTATCATCTGGTGAGGAAGGGGTGCCCTATGATAACATATTTGTATGGAATGCGTATCTGACGCAGCCTATTCGATCAAGGTGTAACAACACTATTTGGACACTAGCTCTAGTTCATGGGCATTTCAAGCAGGTACTTGTAGACTCTTGTGTCTTTACCCATATACTTCTACATTCGCCTCTAGTAGAGGTTAAAATAGTTATTACTATTTAGTGGTTTGCCCCATCATTCAGATAAGGCTATCGATATATGGAAGAGACTTCAGTGTAACTCTAGTCTCCAGGCGTTCTCGACATTTTGCAGGCACACGGTAAGACCTCATTATAATCAGGACACTCATGAATGAGAAACTCATACGCCGAATCTATTTAAAAAATTTAGGGTGAACATAGTAATGTGTGGCGTGAACTCTTGTAGACTCAGTTTGGATGCTTGTCTCTCTTTTTTTTTTCTGTAAATTTGAGTGCCTTCTCATTCTGTAAATTTTTTATTGCAGGTACTTGAAAAGGGGAGTCAATGATAGAGGAAGGGTTGCGAATGATGTTGAAACAGAACAACTTGTTTTTGATGAAGAAGCTGGATCATGCAAGGGAAAAATGACTTCAGTGGTCCAGATGCGAGGATCAATTCCACTCTTTTGGTCGCAAGAGGCCTCAAGATTTAGCCCTAAGCCTGATATTTTCTGTGAGAAACTAACGTAACATGCGCCTGTTATCTCTATTAGACCAAATTAACGCGTGTGTGATATTGATCTACTTGGCTTCTTATGGATGACTCCTGATAATTTTGTTTCCTTGTTTTTTGGCTTCAGTACAGAGGTATGATCCTACATACGAGTCAACCAAAATGCATTTTGAAGACCTGGTGAACCGATATGGGAATCCTATTATTGTGCTCAACTTAATCAAGGTTAGTTTTTTTATTTAATGTCTTTAAGCTAAAGATGGTTATGCCCTTTATACATACTGACACATTTCCATGGAAATATTCAGACAGTTGAGAAAAGACCTCGGGAAATGGTGCTTAGGCGTGAGTTTGCGAATGCAGTGGGTTATCTAAACTCAATTTTTCGTGAAGAAAATCATCTCAAATTTATCCACTGGGATTTCCACAAATTTGCAAAGAGGTAAAATATTGTGGATTTGATTTCCTGCCTTTTTTGACTTGAACACACATTGCTTTCTATTTTCGATGTTTTTTTTTGGTTTTAATGTCAATATCTTTTCGATGTTAAAGCAAGTCGGCGAATGTATTGGCTGTTTTGGGTGCTGTAGCAAGCGAAGCCCTTGATTTAACTGGATTTTACTTCAGTGGCAAGCCTAAAATTGTTAAGAAGAAAGCTAGTATACTTAGTCATGCTAGCACTGGAAGGTAAAGTTTTTGGGATGATATGGTCTGCAATTACTTATTTATCTCTAGTCAGAAACTTGGTTTGTTTTGTAAACTGCTGCATATAATTCTAAATACTGGAGCTATTAGTTACCTTATTCTGGTTTTAATGGAGAAAATTACTGCAGGGAACCTTCTCTGCGTGATCTAAGAGCTTACTCTGTGGAACTTTCAAGGGGTGAGAGTTCAAGTGATATACTTAGTGCTCTTGCTAACCGAGAGAAAGAGATGAAGCTAAGCCAACAAAAAAAAGACGATGGAACTGATTCGTCAGCTCCTCGTTACCAGAGTGGTGTTCTGCGTACTAATTGCATTGACTGCTTGGATCGAACAAACGTAGCACAATATGCATATGGTTTGGCTGCTTTAGGCCGGCAGCTGCACGCAATGGGGTTGAGTGATACATCTAAGATTGACCCCGACAGTAGCATAGCTGCTGCACTTATGGATATGTACCAGAGCATGGGCGATGCCCTTGCACAACAATATGGCGGCTCAGCTGCTCATAATACTGTAATAACGCCACTTATTACCTTTGACCAGTCAATTGTCCACTTCAGGACTTATTTGTTAACATCGTTGAATGGATTATAGGTTTTCCCGGAAAGGCAGGGGAAATGGAAGGCTACGACACAGTCCAGAGAGTTTCTCAAGTCCATCAAACGATACTACAGCAATACCTACACTGATGGCGAAAAGCAAGACGCAATAAATTTGTAATATACTTATCTTTCTTGCAAAAGTCACTTCTGTTTATTGTTAAGTTCGTGATCTTTCTAGTTTGCCAACGATGTAGCAATAGGATGAAGACATTAGGAGTTATAGATAGAGGCAATAGAACCCTGGCATTACCACTATCACCTTAGGCATCACTGATAATATCAACTACTAAGATATTGAATCCTCTAAGGAATTGTTGCTAAGCATTAGTTATTTTCGTTTTTATTGAGTCTCAAGTCCTAGTAGCTAATGAATTTTATTGCGAGCAGATTCTTGGGCTACTTTCAACCTCAGGAAGGGAAACCTGCGCTCTGGGAACTGGATTCTGATTATTATCTCCATGTGTCAGGGATTGGAGATGATATTTTCCCAGAAGGGGGGTAAGATTTACGTTTAATGAACCTAGTGCGTGTCAGATGATGGGTTTACTCTTCATTAGAATCAGATGCAAATATGGAGCCGGTGCCGTAACCAGTTTGGGAAATACCAAAGATACTAAACTCAACATCCCAACGAAGATCATAAGTTCTGGTTGCGTATGATTTCTAATTCTGGTGTATTGCAGGGTCCAGTCCATTGCTAAACCCATGAGTGGTATTGGAGTCAATCTTGCACCAGTGCCGGCTTTCAGAGAAGACTTCTCACGGAAGAAGCTGACGTCGTTTGACAAACTGATTGAGCAGACATGCAGTTCAATAAAGAACGTGAGGCTTTGTAACGAGACAGACCAAAGGCCAGGGGGCAGCACTGGAAGCACTGGTGTGGCTCCTGATGCGGCGTAATGATCCTCATTAAAATTTTCAATCATCTTTTTAGGCATTTGAATGGAATTTGGGAATGGCTAATAAACCTTGAACCTTGTTTCTTTACGTTTATTAGGACTTTTATCTCTTTAAGAAAGTAGAAAAATTAGTTTCTAGTTTAGAAAGAGCAGATATTGTAGTTCAAAGCAAACCATGACTTTTTCGAATGTTAGCTTAATTTTCTTGACTTTCTTATCTGCAGTGAGATTCAGCTCAAGAGCCCGAATTGGCTGTTTGGTTCAAGAAAGCCCGAAGAGAGTGGCTCTGCCACAAAATCTGGTGCAGAAGATAGTGAGAAAGGAGTGACCTCAAGTGCGAGAGTCAATGATTTCTGCAACTTGGACTGGCTTTCTGAGTCCAACGATCATCAAGAAGATACCTTCCAAAGGTACTGATTTCTCTTTTCTTCCATCTCTGAAATCTAAACATCCTTCGGAATGCATTTTTGAAAATTTTCCATTCTAAATATTACTGGCTGGCAAACTCATCATTGAATGATAAACCGCAACTTTTGACCGAAGCAATGGTCTAACCTCAACTACAAATTGTTGGTATTTTTAAAACTCAGATTTTGTCCCCAGTGCATCAAATCATTTGTTGCAGTTGTTTCATTTGATAGGTACCTATCGATTACAGCATCCAATGAAGCCAATGGGTGGTATGGTGGGACTCTCCTCGGTGACCAAGATGAAAACAGTGAAATTTACAAACATTACGCCGCGTTCTGTCAGGTTCAGATTCTTTATCTAACTGATATGTAATAAATTCTCCATAGATTTGATAGATAGCAGAAAAACAACTCAAAACTCTGTTTATTTTATGATCCGATTTGTACAGTGTCCAGCGATGGAACCGTTTGAGAACGATCATGAGTTAGAACAGAACTATGCAGAAGTTCTCCGTATGAACGCAGTCGATGTAATGGACATTGGAGATGCAGGAATGGAGATGGGAAAAGCTTTAAATGAATACGCTCAAATCGGTAGCAATCTCGGGATCATTCCAACACAATGCAAATACTTCGCGAGCGATCCTTGTTGGCTAGCCAGATGGCTCGTCGGAGATGATAAGGTCCCAAAAGTCATCTAATCACAAAACCAAAAATTTTCCCCCCAAAACATAACGTCTCACATCCGAGACACTAGTCTTTTTATTGTATGCTTGTGAATGTGTTTGATTCTGCATTTTGTGTAGGTATATATAAAAGGGACAAAACCACATTAATATTTTGTACCCCAAATAGAAAATATGTTGGTTTACGATACGGTTCACGTATAATGAAACAATATCGTATGTTTCAGAATGATTCGTCTTGTTGATGTCTGATTCAGCTATTTGTTCAGTCCGGTTTTCTTCTATGAGTTTTGCTGCAGCAGAGTCTCGTTTTGCCAGATTCGTTATACAAGAACCGGTATGTTCTGCTTTACATGAGATATTTGCTTTGAGCATTGTGAAAAAGAATTGGCTGGTTATGTATTTCACTAAAAAGAGTATTGAAAACAACATAACATGGGGGGAATACATGAGTCATATTCAACCCCAGAGGCAAAAACTAGTTTCCTTCGCTTCCCTCTACAAATTTCTCCTCTTGTGTTCTTTGATACACACTACTACAAATATAATCATGTTTATTATTTTTACATTATATACTTACAGTAGCATATCTGACTTGGCTGGTAATCTCTTGAAGAAATTTGCAGGTACTGAAGGCAATCTGCTCCTGAACCGCGGATGACGCAGCATGAACAGCCCGACTAGGACTGCGATCACTTGGAAAGGTGTGATATAAATAAACACAGCCCAGATCAATGAGAAGACGATAAACAAAGCAGTTCCTCTCGGGTCTCTCCAGCTAAGTAAGGCTTGAATCCTCTCTCCTTGTGTCGCCAGGTCGCCCACGACGGTCTGGACTCTGCCACCAACACTCCTAAGCCTGTCATACCTCATTCTCACAATGTCTGCTGGTCTGCTGGTCGGGAAAGAGTCAAACTCCTCGTCTAGCTCGTCTGGGTGAGCATTGTCTGCTTGGGACACACGAGCGTCCATGTGAGGCGGGTGTCTCGGTCTGTACCGGTAGTTCCACATGCCTATCACAAAGAGGTAGAGGAAGATGGTGGGTAAAATCAGTTCTGGGTAGCAGACAAGAATCAGGAACAGAACGTGAACCAGACACGTTGTGATCGGGTTTCTCCATGTGCAGATATCGTTGAACCACTTGCAGACCAGAGTGACCGAGGAGAGAAGCGACATGATTCTGCTGAAATTGGCTTTGCTTCTCCTCAGACTGAACATATGGTAGTCTACATCAAGCATGTACTCCACAACCTCTCGTCTAAGCGGTGGCTCCGACCTTGATAGTCTTGTTGCAACTATTTGCATCGCCTGATGCCTAAGCAAATCGATGTGCCTGACTGGTATCGGTTGAACATAATGCATTTTGGGCAACAATGGTCTTCCGTATTGTGCCATCATGTTAACAAAGGAGATACAGGTGTATCTCAGAGCTATCTGAAGCTCACCGTTCTTCTTTAGACCACCAGGCGTAAGAACCAGCAACGGGTAGTAATGAGTGTAAACCCGGTCTGTCTCCAGCGTAGATAGCCTGACTCTAATTTTCCCAATCCTCTGGTCCCTAGAATCACCACCATCGTTGACATGACCATTGTCAAAGACTCCAATTGTTATGACCGTGCAAGGATCATGAACTTCCCAAGTATATTGCTCGTTCCACCTAGGTGCAAGCGCGTCTAAAAGAGTCCTCGTTCTCACCCATTTGTTCCCATACTTGGCCACACAATAAGGATCAGTCATTCTCCCATCTTTACCTTTCATAGGCATCAAGTTCCTAGCACTGAGAATCCCAAGCTCAAGAAGCCCAATGCTAGGCTTCCTCAAATGCTTTGAAGAAGGTTGAAGATCGCTGCTGAAATGCGTAGACTCATCAAGAACATGGTACCCAGCTTCAATACAAACCCGAAGCAGAATCTTACTAGAGAACTTCTCTTTTTTCTTCTCAGTCTCTTCCTCCATAGACATTGAATGTCTCTGTAGATTAAACCACCGTGGATCAGGCATTTTCCCAGTCTCTTGCCTCACTGGAACATCCCTCAGGTGTATAAACGCCCTCCCCAATATCTCATCTTTCCCCGGACCGATCCTATCATCAACAGAAACAATCACCATGTCCTCAAACGGCTCAGACACAACGAACATAAGCTCCTCTTGCCACTGAGGATTCATCGTCCGCATTTGAGGCGTCCTCGTCGCTCTCATCTGATTCCCCGCCTGAATCTTCACGATTGCATCAGGTACTCTCCCTTTATCAGAGGGAACAAGATCCTGAGCTTCGATTACATGAATTCTGAGGTAATACAGCTTCGGCGAGAAGTAAACTTTGGACCGAGTGTTGGAGAGGTTGGAATGGCTCACGCGGTGCGCGTCGGAGTGCCAAGCGTCAGGGAAAGACTCGTCGGCTTGAGTTCCCATCCAAACGGCAAGCATTATCTCTCCTCTGTTCGTCTTCATCCCTTTCTTGTCCTCTAGCCTGTACCACTGTGGAGCGAGAGGACTATCCGGAGGAACTCTGAGAGGAACTTCAGTGAGATCGATATGGACTCTTCCGACGAAATCGTCTTTGGTCAAGAGATCTTTGTCTTTGACAGTGACTTCAAGCAGATTCGATTGTAATCTCTCTTTGGAGAAGGCGAAGATCTGTTTCCAGCTCGGATTCTGATTCTTCTCCAAATGTTTCGTCAAGCCTTTGTAGTTACCAAGCTTCACTTCCACATAAGGATCTAAGCTACCGGAGACATCCATCACCGGGAGATCTCGAGCCTTGACGACGCTCACGTAGAGGTAATGCATCTGCTCCACGAGGTCGTATGTGCTCGAGGTTTTGTCTCCGCTGCTCCGGTAATAGTAGGATTGTCGCCTCCGAGCTGCTAATGGAGGACTGGTTTCGATTAGCTGAAACTCTGGATTCTGCCTCGGAACTTGCATCTGCAATACCGCCGCAGGCGGTGGTCCCGGAGCTCTCATGAAATCTGACCTAAACTCCGGTTGATTAGGAGGAAGATGAGAAGGCTTTGATTGATGCGGTGGTGGAGCTCCGGCGTGCGCGCCGATCGAATGGAAAGTTCTCGAGTCTTTCTCTTTCTTCTTCGTCGGCTTCATCGTCTCCACGTAACTCTCTTGCTCGAATTGCTGGAAAGGGTTTTGAGCTTGATTTTGAAATTCCTGAGTTTCGAATTTCTTCTCCTCTTTGGTCTCTTTCTCGGCAAACTCACCAGGCTGAGGAATCGAGGAGGCGAAATCTGAGCCGTCGATAGGAGCGGCGAAGATTCTAAGAGCGATGTCGCCTTTGATGTGAGAGAACAAACCGCGCTTGTCGAGTGGATATCTCTGTACGTCGGCTTCGGATTCCGATAACGGAACAGAGGCGCCGGAGATTTTAACACGGCCGAGAAACTTCCCGGGTTGATTATCTCGACGGTCATCGTAGACGGTGACGTCGATAGTCTTGTTGGTCAAACGTCTAAAGTCGCCGACGTTGAAAACTAACTTCTCGTTCCACTGAGGGTTTAGATCCTTTAAACGCGTTTGCGTTCTCTGCCGCTGCTCGTCGAATTCAACCTCAACGAATGGACTCGCGGAGCCTTGCCCGTCCTTAGGCATCAAATCGCTCGCGTCCACGATTTCAACTACCAGTTTGCTCATATCGGAAAATTTATAATTCTTTTTGAGAGAAAAAAAATTAGAATTCTTTAAAACGGTAAAGAGAGAGAGAGAGAAAGAAAACGTCCGGCGAAGAACACTCGGTGGGAGAGGTGATTTAAGTAAATAAAAGAAAGATGGAATTATGAAGAGAGAAGAAGAAGAAAGATGAAACAAATTATCATCTTCATCTCTTTGTTTTTTGGTTTCGAAGAGTGTGAAGACATAAAACAAAAACAGATGATGTGTTAAAGATGAGTAAAACTCGGCGAAGAGAGAGAGAAGGCAAGAGGAAGACGTCATTTTAGTCAATTTTTTCGATTTCTCCCAAATTTACCTTTTTATTATTACTATTACTTTATACAATTATATATATATATATATATATATACCATAGAAACGGACAGAGAGTCTATAAAATTATCAAGTTGGATATTCCAAAGATTTATAAGAGTTGAATATTCTTGATTATTACTCCAACCTTTTGAATCATTAGGTTTTATCTTTCGAATATTGTCCTCGTCGGTGATTCACCAAATATTCGTACGTACTATTCTATTCGCGTCTTCGCGGGACATAGTTTTCCGACATGGTAGTTGATGAAAAATTAAATAACCTTTTGATAATTTACTTACAATGATTTTATATAGAATAGATAATTTACTTACAATGATTTTATATAGAATAAAATTGTACGATTAATAAGAAGAATTGTGTAAAGGAAAAAAGAGAATTGGGTGAGTGAGGTGTAGGCCCATAAAAGACGTACCATCGTTGTCTATGGGGACGAATGTGGTGGTGTCCATTTGTGCTTTGTTTGCTAATGCTAACATAATTAGAAAGTGGACTAATTTCGATTCTTTATCTTAATTATTAAAATAGTTTATAACGACAGCAAAAAATACTCCGATTATTTCTATGTTAAATCGATTGATACCACCATGTGTTCTTAATATAGGCAATCATATCAAATGACAAATACTATGAAATTACAAAACTTAAAGTATTTCGATTCATACACTTTAAAACGTTTTTCATGACAGTATGTAAAAAAGGAAAAAGTTAAACAAATTTAATGCTTTGGTTAATTAATGATATTAAATTTGAAAGTATTTAATGTCGGCGACGATAATTTCTAGACAGAGTTTTTGTTTTAAGATAGAAGTCGCATTGTTTATGTACGGTTTAAATCAATGTTAATAGCCAACACTTCAATTCAAGTTTATACATTAACTTAATATATATCCAAATTTATTGTCACTCAATGAATTTATTGTTTAGTTTCATAAATCAAATCAAAGATTATGTTGTTTGATGGTTAAATCGAAAATTCTAAACTCTCTTAGTATATTATTAAAGAAGAAAAAGTCTTCACCGTAAACCATTTAGATGAAGTGAAGTGGGGTTAGGCCAGCTTTAGAGACGAGAAAAATTGTTCTCATTCCATTCAGGAATTTGAAAGCGTTGAATTTTAATTGTAAATTTCTTCCATGAAAGAAAGAAGAATATATAAACTTTTATTGATTAGATCTCTCGTTTTCAATGAAATCGGTGTTACCCCATCATGAATACTACAGTACATCTTATCATGTCCTTGCCCTAAAAAGCAACCTATTTTGTTGTATCAGTAATTCAGTATAATCACCCAGGTTACGCATTTTCATTGAAAACAAAAATCCGACACTAGCTAGCTTTGATAATCACTGGAGTTTCTTATGTATAAAATTATTTTATTTCTAAATATTATCGTATTCAGATTTATACTTAGATGGATTGACTAGTGCTTGCATGTACAACCATTCAGAAACTTCAATACTTTAACCCAAGTATAGATATATTTGACACGCACATTAAAAATAAAAACATAAAATAGACCGATTGTGTATTTCAACAAAAACTCTTTGTCATTAATTAAAGTAGGCGTTCCACGGACAAGCGTTGATTGTTAGACCATCTTCAATGTAAATCTCCATTTTTTTTTTTCAAAATGGAGTAATTTCAAAATAGAATTGTATTTTGCTCCAATATATGATTTCATTTTTTACTCCAAAAAAGAATATTCCTAATATATTCTATTTTTCTTTTACTTTTAATAACCTATAACTTTTAGAAGTTACAAAATAACCCATTTATTTTTATTTTATCTAAAATATTTATAATTTACGAATTTAATAAAATTAAAATATTTATCAAATAAAAAATTACATAAAATCATAAAAACATAAGAAATTTAAGGCTATGTTTTATTTTTGATTTGTAGAGGAATTGTATTCCTACTTTTTGAATAGTAATATTTTTGTTTTTTTATTGATGTAATTCAGTCAAGCCAAACTTATGATACAAGAAGATCCAAAGTTCAAAACAGGTTGGAAATTTGAACATGTTTGAAATATTATTAAAAACTTTGAAAAGTTTAAAGATGGTGCCGATCCTAAACGCATATTAATCCCACTCGTGCCGAGTATACATCGTTCGAGTCTGGAAATTCCATTGATTCTCCTACACAAGCATCTCCAGGTTTGTTTTCATTTTCTTTAAACTTAGATGATACCGACGAGCTTACTAGCGGATCTCCCTCTCCACGACCAATGGGAATCAAGAAATCCAAAAATAAAAGAAAACTTGTTGATCAAACAACATCAGTTATCAACACTTTAGAAGAAGGAAATAAACAACTTTTGGAGCAATTAAAGAAGACAAATGCACAAAGACAAGATCATCTGGAGATTCAACAGAAAACTATGCTTTGAAAGAGCTAAAGATGGAAAACAAAATGTTATTTTATGACATGCGTTCCATATCAGATCCAAATATTCGTGCATATGTTCAAGACAAACAAACAAAAATTTTACAAAAGCGGAATGCTCAACAACAAAATCAAGAATTTCTTCCTCCATCAACTTCGTTTGGCAATATTTTAATGATATCGGTGGATCAGGAAGCGATTTAGCAGAATATTAAATTTTTTGTATTTGTTGTGTTAAACTTTTATGTTTATATTTGATTTTATCACTTGTTGTGTATTTTTCAGTTTATTTTAAGTTGTAATATTTTGAAATAAAAATTTTAGTGTTCAAATATTTATGATTGTCTATTTTATATTTTTTTAAACTATTAAAGTCCTATAATCTTGTCAAAAAATTTATAAACATGAATCATAAAATAAAAACTTAGTTATTAAACCGATAGTTATATATATATATATATATACATACATACATAAAGACCATTTTTTAATTATATATATATATATAAGTCAAAGTGATATGTGTCATACAAATATTAAGTGTATATCTGAAAAAAATGCATATAGCCATATATAATATCGAAAATAATGATGTGTTGATAAAAAGTATAAAATTATAATGATTTAATATTTTAAGGATCAGATTGTAAATAAAAAAAGTATAGCTGCAAAATGGAGTAGAATAAAGGTTTACTCCAAATATGGAGCAATCTCTATTTTTTCTCCATTTTGCAGTCAAAATAGAGTAGGGTTGGAGTGAAATTTACTCCAAAATGGAGTTTACAGCAAAAAATGGAGCAGGGTTGGGACTCAATCAGTAATAAAATCTCTTAAAGACATTGGGGATTGGGAATCAGAAATACTCTAGCCAAATGCAATCTTGTTATTATCTCCTCATGTTTTGTCGGCAGTTTGCTGATTATACCTCTATTTTCTTTTCCTTTTAGTTCTCAGCTAATATTTCATTCATTTTATCATTGTTGACAGAAAAATTAAGAAGACATTATCAAAGTGGTTTACAATACATATATAAAACTACTTTTGTACTAATATATGTCATTAATTAATAAGTAACACTGTAGTATATGTTTATTTTTAGATCCACTCATAGTTGACTAATTTGATATTTATTACTATCATGCAATATAACTAATATCTAACGGCACGAAATATCGAGTCGTCTAGTGATTATATATGCGTATTTGAACATTTTAAGTTTATTCCTATTTGAAAAGAAGACATGTTTTTATAAGGGACAGATGTATGTATTTTGACATAGAATACCTCGTTTAACCTTTAAAATATTTCTTCTTGAAATCTAAGATAAGCTTTGTCATTTCTTATGTGATGCAAAACAGTTTAAATACGAGAGAAAACAATAGCAAATAGATTATGAAACAATTCAGACGACAGTGGGAAAATTATGAACTAGTTATAAAATAAAGAGTATTACCACTAAATGTCTATGGATAATATCAAAATTAGGTGACATTTTTTACACATTTTTCTACAGTGTTTTAAGATAGGAATTTACTTAAAACTTATTTCTTTATATCTGTTTTTCTTTTTCTTTCTAAATTTTGTTTCCCAGACAAACAAAACTGGAAACCATCGGAGAAGCCATTACAAACTTTAAGATTGGAACAATCAACAAAACACAAAAAGAGTACCACAAGTCTCATCTTTTCACGAATCTCTTTAGCACATTCATCTTCATATGCTGTTAATGTCTCTTACAATGTTACCTGTTAACTTTGCAATTATTATTTGTAAATATATTGTATAAAATGAAAATTAACATAAATATTATCTTAACATAGTTATCATTATAAAGTTAATACAAATAATATTCAGATTTACTATATATTAACATATTATAAGTATCAGATATTCTTGTTATCATGGTATTATTATCGAATATTAATGTTAGCACATTATAAAAATCAGACATTAATATTATCATGTTAACTTATATAACATGTAAGAAAATTGTTATCAAGTATGTTAACGAATAGTATATAACGTGTAATTATTGTTAATATATTAACATAGTAATTTTTAGCATGTTAACAACACATTTTTGATAATGAATAATTATTTTTTAATCAGATGAACAGTAACACTGATCATATGAACAGTGTCACCGATTTATTCTGTTGAAAAGTCAGTTTCTAAACTAATGGCATTTTTTGTAATTATTTAAATTCGAACAAGTGTTTTTTGGGATAAATTTGTTTTTTCTTTTCTATTTTACTAATTTTTAAATCAATTTTTTTATATATCTAATTTTTTAGTCAATTGTTGGTATTGGCTCAATTAACTCTAAAATAAAAGAGAGGATATTTGTCTAGTAATAATAAATACTGCTACCCACTAATTTTTTTTCCCTTCGAGTCTTGCTTTTAAAGTCAACAATGTTCTCCTTCGGAGCTAAGGTTCAATTATCCTGTAACATTTATTTCTCCTTTCACTTAACATATTTTAGTGGACTCAACTTTTTTGCCAATGAAAGTTCTCTTTATCGTGATCGCTGATAAGCCGATACCTTAGTAGAGTGGTTTCTCTACCGTGTCATTAGCGCTAACTTCGACCATATTTTTCGTAGATGGGATTATAATACCCATTAATATATGGGCCTATGAATGAGACGGTAAAAAAAACTAAATACAGACTAATAAATAGGGAATCCCCTAATAAATAAAAGAGTCTTGACAAGAAGAAAATTGAAAAAAAAAAGTAGAGATGATATTTAATTTTGTTAGCAAAGTTTGGTAGAAACTCACTGAAAAACTAATGTCTGTCATGTCATGTTCTGGCGTGAACACAAAACACGTGGTGGAGAAAAATTGGTCGGAGATGTCTGAATTGACAGTGTTAGTAGTTTGAGTAACATCCGAGAAAAGTAAAACCAAAGCAAATAATATTGTTAAATACTTCTGATTTTAGTAACTGCGTATCTGACTCCTTCGTCCTTTACTCTTCTCCCCCATGTCAAGCGATCAACAAATTTGCTTCATTATTTTGTCACTATATTTCATTAAACCGGTGGGAAACAGTTCGGAAAAAAAAAGCAATTCGCTTTAAAGGTGAGCCAGTCCAACACCAAAATGTTTACACAATAATTTGATCTCAATTTAAAGGTTTTTTATTGTTTGAGTATGGATCCAAAGATCCTAGATTCGGATTCTGTTTCAAAATTAGAAAGCTACTACTCTGAAAATTTAGAAAAAATAAATACTAAAAAAAAAAACCATAAGAAAAGGTTTAGTGTACTATTTTGTAATGTTAGAGTTCCTTAAAGAATTGACTTTAGTAAATAGAAGGATAGAAAATGAATAAAAGAAGAATTTGACATTAGAAAACAAATTATATATTCTTCTTGAAGGAAGAAAACAAAACTATACAAAGTTTTATTTTCGTTTTCTTTTTCGAAAAAAACTAGTATCACTAATCAAACTTTTTCGAATAATTTGACAAAATATTACGCGATCCAAAGAAAAATATTGAGTAGATAGGGTTCTAGGAGTTGATCTTAGCTATTCGTAGCCTAATCTCCTCCGATTTCCTTCCGCTTGTTAGTTTTATTTTTGCATTTCAATAAATAATTAAACTATGATTAGTAACCTGCGAAATGGTGGAATTGCGTTTTTAAACACAATTCCACATATTTTTTGCCAATCAACAAAAATCCGCGTAATGAAAAAATACACACAAAAACACAAACACAATTGCGTTTTTGTTTAGCAAAAATACAAAGGAAAAGTCATTCCGCAGAAAAGCGACTTATAAGTTGCTTAATCTATTCCGTAAGATTTTTTCGCAATTCCGCCGTTTTACAAAATTACCAATCAAAGCCTAAATGATCGTGGGTTTGATGGTCTTTCTTTTTCTTCTTTTTGGTACTTTCACTCGTCCTTTCGCTTTCATGAAAGATTGAGAGAGAATATAGCTCGTTTAATTTTAAAATATAGCTTATGCATTATGCATAGCATATTTGCACACCGTCTATAATCCACTAATTGTAAGGCATTATATATTTTCTAACCAATATTGCAGAGTATATCTAACAAAAATTGCATAAGATAATCAATGACACGGTGTCTCTATCTAAACTGTTTATTTAAAAAAAAAAACAAAAAGACATATCTTTTGGGATCTATAATGTGGGTTGGTGTGGGCACTGGCCAGTTCTCAATAAATTTCAAATGATGTTAATATATAATAGTTGTAGTTACCACTAAGGTTGCGGAGCAACCAAAATGTCCACATTAAATAAAAATTGGGGAAAAAATCAACGTATGTGTGATCGACAAGCGAATATACGAAATCTGAAAAGGAAAAGACATATGTAGATGTATGTGTTATATAGTGTTAGTGTTAGTGTATGTATATGTGTGAGTGTTGTTGTGGGGGGGGAATCTGCAAAGGAAGATACAAGGTGGCTGCTTTATTTTCTTCTGTCATTTGTTTTCTTGTCAAAGTGCCTCAAAAGCCACATGTAATCTCACATGCGCCGTATCTTCTTCTATTTTGTTTTTCTTCTTTTTTTTTCTTAAGACATATGTCATCTGTTTCATCTAAAAGTTTTAGACTCTTTTAGTTAGAATCAATTGACATTATAATCTTTTATATAAAACCAAAACAAAAAACAAAAAAGAAACCAAAAAAATTATAATTCATAATATTTATGCAGTTTTACGACGTAAATCATCATCTCCATATTTAGTGCTACAATGAAAATATTACTTGATATTAGATGAGACGCAAACCATGGCATTGATCTTGAACATATACATGTAATATTTTTGTTAATTTTTCAGTTTAAAATCTACAAAAAAACTCATCATATATTAATATATATCAAAATGTTGGTTTTAAAAGAATTAAGAAAACATGTTTTTGTTTTATATGTTGCTTTAATTGATAACTAAAACTCCTATAACAAAACAAAAAACAGCTAATGACACTATAATAAAAAAAATCTTTGACAAAAGAAAAACTCTATAATAAATCTACATCCGCTTAAAACCATACAAGAAAAAGTGATATTTGGTGATTTATATTCTCTTTTAGAAAGAAGAGTAGCAGCTATCTTGCATGCAATTTCTTTCCCTTTCTGTGTCAACTTTTGCCGGCCACTCGACGAATATCCCTATTTCTCTACATTTAACTCAAAAGCCATTACATTAATTTTTCTAAAGTCTTTCTGTTCAAACTTCGAAACCTTTCTATTTCTGGCTCTCTTTATCTATTATATTAAAACAAAAACACATTTAGTACTTGCTTCCAAATATTCTTAATTTTTTTTAAGTGTTTAAAAATAATTTTAATAATTATTTATATTTAATTTTGAAAATTAGTTATTAATTTAAATATTTTTAGAGTTCCTTAAATATAGGTAATTTAGATTTGATTTGATTTGATTAAAATAATAAATCAGATATTAATTTAGATTTGATTTAAAGATTCTAATTTAAATAATTTTTATACTATTAAATATTTTTATCAAAAATATCTAGAATTTTTGAAAAAAATAATAATTTACATATGAAAAATAATAGTCATATTTGAAATATAAAATATTTATAATAATTTAAATGATATGATATTTATGTTGCTTATATAATATATTTACGATTATGATTTATTTACAAATTAATAATAAATAATAGGTAAAATTCAAATGTATAATTTAAATATTAAAAATATATTTTTTTAAAATTCATAGAACTAAAAATATATATAAAAACCGGGTTAAAAATATTTTGGTAACTAAAATCATTAATTTTGAATTATACACGTATATCAAAAATATATTTTTTATACAAAATAAAAATATAAAATTAAAAAAATTATTGCATACACTATGATGTGGTTTGAAAAACTAGTTGTACACTCTCTTCGTTGATTAAATTTTAGAAAACTATAATGCTAAATAATACTGTTAATATATCTCAAACTTTTAACAAATATTTATATTATACGGTAATATAAACGAAAAAGTTAGAATTATGTTTTCATAATAGTTCATTTTGAATTAATATTAGCGGACAGGTTAAAATTATATTTTTATAATCATAATTAATTTTAATACTATAAAAATATATCTAAACACAAAAATCAATATTTTCATTTATTAAAAAATATATTTATAAAAATAATTATATATAAACTCAAAAACACAAATTATATTACAAAATTTGTTAAATAATAAAAAATATTCTTGTGCGGATGCACAGGGTTAGAATCTAATTTCCCTTTAAGAATATTACATGATTTATGCATCAATTCTCAACAACGCTTCAAGTCTATATTTATTGGGCCTACATATGTAATACTAGGCCCATTATCATGCTCATTCTCTTCATCACCGCGCACCGTTTCGTAGGTGTGTAAAGAACACATTCGGGGAATCTACTTTTCTACGTAGAGAAGTACGTGAAGGCGACACGTACATATGGTACACCCACGTGGCGCTACGTGTTAATCAGCTAGCTAAAAAGAGCAAAGATATTCGATAGGATAATAACATGACCAGTAAGTAATAAGTTATAAAAAGTATCAAACGAGTCACCGACACGAAGAAAGAAGTAAAAATGACGAAACTATTTGCCCTGTTGTGTCTTCTCATGAGTTCAGTATTGACGGTGGGCCACTGCTGGGATTCGGAAGGTGACGTCATCGTGAAAGACGGCCACCGTGTTGTTGTGGTGGAGTACGACGGAGACGGCAAAACCAACACTAGAGTCTTGATTTCACCGCCGGGAAAAGGACGGGAAGGAGAAGAAGAATCGAAGGAAGAGAAGAGAGGAGACGAAAAACAAGTGTTTAGAAATGCCCAAGAAGCTAAGAGAGGGGTTAATGAAATGGCCACGAAGAAGGCTCAAAACGTTTGGGAGAAGTCAAGGATCACGGTGAGGCGGTTAGGCACGGCTGTTGCGGAGGCGCTGAAGCTGACGAAGATCGGAAGCGTGGTGAGTCTGATCGGGATCGCGGCAGCGTACGGGATGTGCGTGTGGGTGACGGTCGTCTCGAGGTACGTGATGGTTTCTGTACTTGGGAGGAAGCAGTTTGGTGTGGTGCAGACCAAGGTGTATGCGGTTTACTTCAAAGCAATCTCTGTAGCGATTCTTATTGGGTTGCTAGGACACGTCATCGGCCGGCGCCGGAAGGTTATTACCGATGCGGTGGAGATGTGGCAGGTCGTTAACCTCTTCTCTTCCATACTGTTGGTGGAAGCTAATGCGTCATTTGTTGAGCCACGAGCCATCAAGGTTATTTTGCCACTCCCAAATTCGTTTATTTTTAAATCTAGGGACGTCTTTATAGAATGTGCGAATTTAACATTCGAACAAGTTTCGATTTCCGATTCAAAAAGAACAAGAAGTTTTTAGAAAATTTTGAATATGCATATTGATATCATGGCTTCTAATTTTGAGTTTGGACATTGCCCTTTGAGACCTTCCAGATAAAATAAACGATCTAAATTTTAAGAAAATTTCTTACATCGTCACCATGATTGCTTGTTTGCGTTTACATTTAGATTTTAATTAGCGTAATTGCATTTCCCAAAAAAAAAGTTTTAATTTTCAAATACTTCAACTGAATTTCACTTCTTTAAATCAAATGTAAATACTAAATGCAAAAGGATTCAAGACGGAAAAAGATTCTCGGTTTGCCATTGAAAAAAAAAAGCCATTGATTTTCTTTCTTTACTTCTGATTTAGCGTGTAAATGCAAACGCATACATTCTGTTTGAAAGTTGTAAGCGGGAAATCTTATAAGAAATTATTTAGATGATGGAATGCCTAAAACTATACTATCGGATTTTGATAACAATGGTGTTTTTTTTTTTTAAGTAAACGAAATTTCAAGTTTATGCCAGTGTAATATTGATTTTGTATTATGGTAAACAGACAATGTTTGAGCGGATAAAAGTTGAAAAAGAAGAAGGAAGAGGAGTTGACACGTCCGAGTCACATTCCAGTGAAGCTGCAGCTCAAACCTGTGGTAAGAAGGTTAGAGAGAAGACGATGGATGAGGATGGTGTGAATCATAAACTAACGAAGCTAAACGAAAGGTTGAGTAGGTTAAATGCGTACTCATCGCGACTGAATTTACTAACTCTAATGTCTCTTACTTGGCACTTTGTGTATCTCGGCCATCGACTCAGCCTCACTTATTGAGATATCTCGGTCATCGACTCAGCCTCACTTATTGAGGGATCAAAGAGCCACCGCACGAGATTTATAGTTGTTTTTGTATTTTATTGGTTTAATGTGTGTATGTTACATATCAGAAGTTCTGATATTGACATTTAAGATAATTAGCATGTTTCGATGGACTAATCGGTGAAAAATCTTAATCCTACTAACATCCTACTAACATCAACTATATGTTTGAATTATTATATATTTCTAATTTAAAAATCAGATTTACTATTCTTGCTTTATTTATTATGTTGATCATTATTTTTATTATTTTTAAAAAGAAAATTTTAATTTTATTATTAGTGAAGATTAACACTTTTTGAAATTCTGTTGATATTATCTGTACGTGACACATGAACAAAAATTTTACTTGCCATCTCTTGTATATATTCTTTTGATTCTTTTTTCTTAACTAAGGCTGTTTTTAATTCTACATCTTTGATTCTCTCTTTCTCATAACATTGATCCTCTACTCAATCAGATCCTCTACTCAATCATATTATATCAATTGCTTTGACCAGCTCCTCCGAATAATCAGTATTTTTCAAGGAAAGCATACACTATTATTGTGCATGAAATTTCGTTATATTTTACTAAACTAATTACATTAGTTAATCTTTAAAAAGTTTGGAATTCCAAAAATGTGATTTTTAATCGAATCTTCTATGTTGAATCTGGGTTTGACATGATTCTGATATTTTACATGTTTTTTGTCTTTCTTTTACCAGCTTTAGAAAAACGAAAAACGTTAAGGAGCTGGAGACATTGGTTTCATTCTCCCAATTTCGCCTGAAAAATTAACAGTAAAACATTTGGATTACAAAAAATGTAATAAATGTATTACATAGCATTTGGTTTGGAAATAACGGAATCGAACTTTCGTTTTATTGGAGATGACTTCAATGGCCTCGTGGTACTGGCAGGCCATGAAGTGAGTCAAGGCAGATGAAAACCTGTCGTCCTCTTCGGGTGTGAGATTGCTGGCAGAAAGCTGCCGACGGAAACATGTGCTAGTTTCAATCAAATCTTTTACGCTGAGTCTGAGTTTGATATGATTCAGATGTTATCCATGCCATTTGTCCTTCTTTTTCTCGTTCTTTTTCTTACTACCCTCTTCATCCATCACCATCTTGTTCTTCTTTTCGTCACTCATAATCAAGCAAAAGAAAAGTGAGAAACAGAAATAAAAATAGAATCTCTATCCCCATTTTGTCGACTATGGCCAAATGGGCTTTTAATAGAATTGAAAACATTCGATTAAAATGAGATTTTTTTAAAGTAGCATAAAAGGAAGAAAATCCTCCTAAATATAAACCAAATCTGGTCATAAACCGAATATGCATTTGACATAAAACAGATCAAGAAGGCCAATCTAAGCGATTGACATACCAAGAAGGCCAAAAAGATTTATACCATTCTCTTAGACTTTAAAAACAAATCATAAAATAGAACATTCAACACATTTTAATCCTAACCATGTTTGTTTTTTTTGAACAATTAACTCCATGAAAATAAAAAGATATAAATTAGGTTATTTAATTATTCTTTCTTGACTAAGGCTGCTCCTGATTCTACAGCCTTGATTCTCTCTCTGATGACATTGATCCTCTTCTCAACCACATCAGCTGCTTTGACCAGCTCCTCCGAATAATCAGCATCTCTCATATCCTTAAACGAAGCGATCATCCCAAGTTCCATCGCACGGCTATGCATCTGCTCTTTCTCCAACTTCTTCTCTGCGTCTTGGATCATCCTGTTCATCAGATCCTTCTGGTCCATCATGTATTTGGTCTGTTTCTCTACCGGGAGTGCGCTTAACCGGTTTAGAAGAACACGAACCTCCTTATGATTTGGCCAGAGCTCAGGACCTTCCTTGTAATCACTGTAGATGATGGCGCAAGCTCGTAAACCACATAGAATGGTCAATTCTTTGAGCTTCTTCAATAAACCATCTTTGCGTTTTCTGAACGTAACTCGACGAGTGGAGTTGTCAGCAATCAATTGGTGTGTTACTTTTCTTCTGCCCATTGTGAACAAAAGAAAAGGATGAAGAAAAAGAGGATTTGTATATGTTTTTGGGGATCGGATGGGTACATGTTATATAGAGTTTCCAACTTTGATTTTTTTTTGCTCGGTCCACAAAATGGTTTCATCAAATTATAGAAATGTTTTAAGAGAAAAAATAAAATAAATATAAAAGTTTAAAGGAAAAAATAGCTATAAAATCTTTCTAAATAAGAAGATTTCTATCTAAATAAATTTTCATTTTCTTATGTGTCTTTTGTTGGTTGGTCCACTGAACCTGCAAGATAGGAATCTGATATTTGCCTATTAATGAGTCATAAAAGTTTAACTATATTAAAAAGTTTGAATTTTTTATTATAGTTGACCAATTAGAAGAAGAGATGTGTGTTGTTATATGTATATACAAGTAGTCAAGTCCTATTCATTATTACAGCAACACAGTAATTGACATATGTCAGTCAAAATTTAAATCGGTTATCAGAAAAATTTAATATGTGTAAGAAAATGATTTAACTAAAAAAGATAATGCAAAAGACTCTTATGAACAATAATCTAACAGAAATATAATACAACAAATTACGTTGCATAATTTTATACATTAATATTCATAAGGGTCTACAACTCATCATATTTTCTTCTGATTTGTAAGTGTTCAAACTTTCATGGTTAAACATATAATATGGGTCATCAATAGCAATATGCAAACAATATTTTTTTTGTTAAATTACAACACAATTTTTTATATAAGATATTAGCCTATAACTTGCAAGTAAAGGGTTGAGGGAAACAAAATACAGAAAATCGGCTCTGATAAAAGAAAAAAAAGTGAAAAATATAAATAAAAAAACAAATTTTAAGACGAATCAAAAGTCAGATTTCAGCCCATTTAATTTATAGATAATCCAATAGAATCTACTAAATCTAGTGTTCAAGACCCGAATGGTTGAGAAACTAGAGAACGTAAGTTGTATGTAACACAACTACACATAACATTAATATTATCTTTTCCTGTAAAGATATCAATTTTCATCGACTACATAAACTGTCATCATAAAAATTGTCTTCAACAAGCAAATTTACAATAAGTGAAACAAACGTAATCACAAAACTACAAATCAGTTAGCAGTGTGCAGATATTTTTTTTATCTACGTGATTTATTATTCCAAAAATCGAAATCGCCACAACAACAGTTTTTTGCGGTGTCTAAAAAATTTCTCTGTTTTTCAACACATGAAAGACAAAGTAACAGTCAAAATCCATCGCCGTGTTTGGCGCGATAACACAGTTGATAAGGATCTAAATTGAAAATAAATTACAATCAAATGAGTATTTTAAAAGCTGAAAATATAAAAATAAAAGATTAGTTCTACCAATGAATCACATATCTAATCAGAGCCGGATCTGGAGATAGCATTAGTTTTTAGTCCTCTTTTCTAAGATTATATATAAAATTTTTGGCCCCTAAATCGTAAAAAGAAAAATTATTAATATTTTTTTTAAAATTATTTATAGTCCCCAAATTCTATAATTCCATCACTATCAAACATCCCAAAAAAAAAAAAAAATAGCAGGACCACAGATAAAGGCAATTAGTCTAAGCCTAATACCAAACATTCCAAGCTGGTTGTAATTAATGTTACACAAAACAGAGATTTTATGATGTATATGGTTCTTAATTTTAAAAGAAGACGTGATCCAATGACGCACATAGTAGTTGACCTTTGATTGAATAAAATGCCACAAAGGCAGAGTGAAAAAAAAAAATTGCTGATAACAAATAAAATACATAGCTCGTTTAACACTCCCACACAAAACAAAATAATAAATTAAGTAAATCGTTTAGCTTAAAAATCCAAGAATTCAAGATTCCTAAATCTCTCAATCGGCAAGAAATGAAGAAAGACGAGGAAGGATTTTCACTTGTAGAAAATTACGTTTGCGATTCCGTCGACCACCGTGGAAGTCCCGCCGGGAAATCTTCCACCGGCGGATGGAGATCCGCCTGGTTTATTATAGGTGAAGAATCGAATCGAATCGTTTTTGATTTCTTCGTAACTTAGCTCCTAAAACTCTCAGATTTCACTTGAAATCTTTTGTCAGGTGTGGAGGTAGGAGAGAGATTTGCTTACTTTGGGATTGCCTGTAATTTAATCACTTACCTCACCGGACCTCTCGGTCAATCGACGGCGACCGCCGCCGTGAACGTGAACACTTGGTCGGGAACCGCCTCAATACTTCCTATTTTAGGAGCTTTCGTAGCAGACGCTTATCTCGGTCGTTACCGTACAATTCTTGCAGCTTCCCTCATCTACATACTGGTTTAGTACCTTCTTCTTCTTCTTTCTCCTCTCAAAATCAAGATTTTGGTAAACCGGATAAAACCGGGGTTGAGCTGAATTTTGGAGAGATTTGTTATTACAGGGACTAGGACTATTGACCTTATCCGCTTCCTTAATCCTAACGGGATTGTCTGAGCAACGTAACGATGCTTCCGCTAAACCGTCTTTTTGGGTGAATATATTATTCTTCTGCTCTCTGTATTTGGTGGCGATCGGACAAGGTGGACACAAGCCGTGTGTTCAAGCGTTTGGTGCGGACCAGTTTGACTCGGAAGATCCAAAGGAGGTAATATCGAGAGGGTCGTTTTTTAATTGGTGGTTCTTGAGTTTATCTGCTGGAATCAGTTTATCGATTATAGTGGTTGCGTACGTGCAAGAAAATGTCAATTGGGCGTTTGGGTTTGGGATCCCTTGTTTGTTCATGGTTATGGCTCTTGTTATCTTCTTGCTCGGGAGAAAAATCTATCGATACCCAAAAGGAAACAGTGAGAAGAATAGTAACGCTTTTGCGAGAATCGGTAGAGTTTTCGTCGCGGCGTTCAAGAACCGGAAACTTAGCTTAGAACATTCCGGTTTGGGTCAAGGTCTATTGGAGGATGGTTCGTCCGAGACAAGTAACGGTCGGCTAGAGTAAGTCACATGAATCCCAAGGTTTTTTGTAATCATTCTGAGTTTTGGTGTAGCGTAATTTGAATGTTAATTTTCATTATCTTGTGTGACAAGTTACCTAACTTGAATGTAAAAGTTCTTAATCTTGTGTGACAAGTTTCCTAGCAAAAGCGATGATCTTGGGAGAAGAAGGTGCAGAGCCATGTAGTGGTAGGGACGTGGAAGAAGCGAAAGCTCTGGTAAGGCTTATTCCAATATGGATAATATCGGTGGTGAGTAATATTCCGTACGCACAACACATAACTTTCTTCACCAAGCAAGGTGTTACGGTGGACAGAAAAATCTTACCAGGCTTGGAAATCCCTCCGGCTTCTTTACTGTCATTCATCGGTGTATCGATTCTCATCTCGGTCCCGGTCTATGAGCATGTGTTTCTACCGTTAGCTAGAATGATAACCAAAAAGCCTTTTGGGATCACAATGCTCCAGAGAATAGGAGTTGGAATGGTGCTTTCGAGCTTCAATATGGTGCTCGCAGCATTGGTTGAAACCAAACGGCTTCACATCGCTAGGGAACATGGGCTCTTGGACAAGCCGGACGTGACCGTTCCAATGTCGATATGGTGGTTCGTTCCACAGTATTTGCTGCTCGGGATGATCGATGTGTTCTCTCTAGTGGGAACTCAAGAGTTCTTCTATGACCAAGTCCCAACGGAGCTAAGGAGCATTGGTCTTGCGCTCTCTTTGAGTGCGATGGGTCTTTCAAGCTTCTTGAGCGGTTTGCTCATCACTGTGATTGAATGGGCTACGGGAAGAGACAACGGGGACAGCTGGTTCAACACTAACTTGAACAGAGCCCATGTCGATTACTTTTACTGGTTGCTCGCTGCTTTCACCGCCATTGCTTTCATTGCGTTCTTGTTCATCTCCAAGTTGTATGTGTATCGTCGAGCAGACCAAGTATAAGAATTTACAAAACAAATTTTGTTGACTTTGCATATCATATTTGTTGTTCTAACTTGTAAGTTAACGTGTTTATAATTTTTATATATATATATATATATATATATATCTTCGTGGTTCAAACTTCTAAGTTAACGTATTTATAATTTAACTTATCTTTGTTTTTTTTTTGGCAAGTGTAAATAACACGCTCGGTTTTGTTTATTGTTATTAGGTAATGGATAAATACATTTCTCAAACAAACAAAAAAACTCCCACATTTTGGAGACTACTAATGTAGTTATTACAAGGCAGAGGCAAAAGCAGCTCATGAGAATTATATGGTCGTTTGAAAAAGCCGGAACCATGTAGAGAGCAAATTTTTCGAGGTTTGAGAGATCTCAATGGTGGAGCCGTGGAGTCGACTCAAGCTTAGCTCGGTTTTGTTAAAATAAAGAGATAGAATTTGGCAAGTTAAATCTGAGGTAGAGGTGCCTATAGAAACATATTTGTCGTCATTGCATGGGTTTGGATTGGATAGCTTTTATTGCTTGGTGTCACAACCCCAAGTGGTCCATTAATTGGTTTTAACGAAAGATCCCATAACCATCTTTAATTGTGTGTTTGTTTGAATTGTGTAGTTTGCCAAACAAGTCTTATCCTCCTTGAAAGAGATGCAGAATGAGCCCATCTGAATTGATGATTTCGAAATCGGACTACCAACAAATTGATCACATATTTTAAAAACTCAATCATTACTCCCCATGGGCCAACTTTGGATCTTGGCGGAAAGAACATGTTACATGTATATATGCCAAAATCAACGAGTGATAGCACAAGGGTTTAGGATATAGAGCTCAGTGCGTAAATTTTACTAAGGCTCCGGATTCGATTCCTCTAGCGAACAACTGAGCTCCGCATGGACTACTTCGTATCTCTGACTTCGACTTGAGATTAAAGAGTGGTTGCCTTGTATTGTATAAAGGAGGGGTTTGTTCTTCCCCGGATTAGTCAACCTTGAGGCCGGAAACTAACTAATGTTAATAAATAAATAAAATAGCAGAAAGCCATGTATATGCCATCTATGATCAATGATGTATCCGAAAGTAAATTGCATTAGAAGTGACCGAAAAATATTATCTATAACCCTACTTCATTTCTTCTCCAACCCTACTCCATTTTTACCTTTTTTTCTCCAAATATAGAGTAACCCCATTTTCAACTCCATTTTGCAGGTAAACTTTTTTATTTACAAGATAGTCCTTTACTTTTCATTAATTATTAAAACTAGATTTTTTATTTATAATTTAATCCTTTATATTATATATATTTAGTTTAAAATTAAAGATAAATAGATTTAAAATTTGAGAATAGAAAATAAAAAATATAAAAAGATTAACTGAAACTAGTAATAACATAAAATTAAAAATACATAAGAAATACATAAAATTGAAATGTACTTTGTTTTATTATTTTAAATGGTGTGTAGTATTATTTGTATATTATAATTGTTGAATTTAGAATAACATTATAATTTATAGAAGTTTTAACTAAAAAAACAAATGAGTTTATTTGTAATTTTTATAAATAAAGTGCATTATTAGTAATTAACAATAAAATAAAAATGAAAAATATATTTAAAAAATTATTTTTAAAGTTGAAAATGGAAGAATACATTGAATAGAAATTCAACTCCATTTGGAAGTTCCTCCATTTTAGAAATAAAAACGGAGGAATACATTAGAGATACGATAAAGTGCATTTTTGTGTGAAGCTTCATCAGTCGATTAAAGAGCGTCGATAATATCCATGTTCTAAAGAAATGGCCCCACGTATTAGTCCTTTAAATTTCGTAGAGTAGAGGCGGTACGAAGTGGTTGAGAATCTGGGGCATGCAGTAGCACACGTTACACGTTAAGCTACTACATAAAATTTATAAGAAAATAAAGACTTTCTCTTCATCTAAAAGTCTTTATCTAATAATTTTTCAAAGATGATACAAATTATGTATGTGTATACAGATAAGAAATCCATAACAAACGGTACGGACCACAAAATACGGATCAATCAGCGGGTAGACACAATATGAAGGTCATCTTAATTTACGCATGTAAGCTTCTAACCAGTCAAAATCATCACAACACAAAATTTCTCATAATCTGAAGCTTTTGTGATGGTTTGATTCTCTTACACATATCAAAGACAAATTACGAATAAAACATTGTGAATTCATTTTTGTGCATGGGGGCAGTGACACAGCTAATAAGGTTCTGGTTGTATGTTATGTTTTAAATAGAAATAAAGCATAATAGATTGATTCTGCAAATGGACAAATATTAGTGGTCTTTTTCACCGATCCATCAATCAACTTTAAAAACGTATTAGACTAGGACCAGAGACAAAAGCTAACCAATCAAGTCCGTCCACTCCCACATCGTTTTTTAGTTTTGACGTAAACTTTATAATTGTTGTCATTCACGTGGAAAATATATTACCTTGTGAAATTATGGTGTTTGTGAAATTATGCATCCTGACACATCAGGACTTGTGAAATTCCACCATTTAAAAAAAAAAAAATTCCACCATTTATAATGACAAATGATTTCAACAAAAAAAATGGAATTAAAATCATGAAAAAAACTAAATTTTGAATTCACCAACTGAATTAACACTTGCTTTTAGAGGTGCTTACACCTAGAATTAATGACACAAACTAATTTGTAATATACCTTCAATTTATTTTCAAAATAAAAACAAAATAGAGCGTGTATGCATGGATCTTGATTTTAACCAAAGTCATGACCCAATAACCACATATTAACTAATAGTTGGCTTTTGATTGATATAAAATGACAAACAAAAAAAACACTGCTATAATATAACCGCATATTACGTAGTTGATTTAGATAAATCAAGTATTAAAGATGATTAAAGTATAGCTCATGACACATTCGTCCATTAAAAGAATCATAAATAATATGGTCTGTAGATTGGTATATCACCAGATTGGTAGTTGACAAAAAAAAAGGAAGATTGGTAGATATAATAAGTTCGTTGACAATTAGGTCGTAGATCAGGCTCATAACATAAATCGAAAAAAGCCAAATATGATAAATATAACGAAAAATAGCATGATTGATTAAATCGTGTTCAATACTTGCGCATGAGGAACAGAGTCATATAGCTTAAATATAAAATCCAGCTTCCTCATCGTCATTCAAAGAGATATTTCTAATTTCTGTCGCGACGAGAAATGGCAATACCAGAAGAAGAATTTACACTTCTTGAAGATTCCGTGAGTGACTCCGTCGACCACCGTGGAATACCCGCCGGTAAATCTTCCACCGGCGGATGGAGATCCGCTTGGTATATCATAGGTGAAGAAAACATTACCAAAAAAAGAAAAATCGAACCGTGACGTAAATGAGCTTCGAATTTCCTAATTTCAAGATCTTCTTCTTGTTTTCTTGAAACGTTTTGTCAGGTGTGGAGGTAGGAGAGAGATTTGCTTACTTTGGAATTGCCTCCAACTTAATAACGTACCTCACCGGACCTCTCGGACAATCGACGGCAACCGCCGCCGTGAACGTGAACACGTGGTCAGGAACCGCCTCGATGCTTCCTGTTTTAGGAGCTTTTGTAGCAGACGCTTATCTCGGTCGTTACCTCACCATTGTTGTAGCTTCTCTCATCTACATTTTCGTACGTTTCATTTTCCAACTCCAAATTCTATTTAGATTTTTAGAAATATTCCAAAAATATTGGATTAGTGACTTAACACGTTTGATTAAATTAATTTTAAATTAAAAATCTGATTTCAGAATAACTTTGAATAGGTTTGGAAATGTTACATCTAAGTTGAAAAAATCTTGGCGATGATATTTTTGTTCTTTAAAAAATCAGAATCAGTTAAAAATACAAAACGGATTATTATATATTATTATTGCAGGGACTAGGACTATTGACTTTATCGGCTTCCTTAATCCTAACGGGATTATCTGAGCTACGTAACGATGCTTCTGCTAGACCGTCTTTTTGGGTGAATATATTATTCTTCTGCTCTTTGTATTTGGTGGCGATCGGACAAGGTGGACACAAGCCATGTGTTCAAGCGTTTGGTGCGGACCAGTTTGACTCGGCAGATTCTAAAGAGAGAATATCTAGAGGATCGTTTTTCAATTGGTGGTTCTTGAGTTTATCTGCCGGAATCACTTTATCGATCGTTGTTGTGGTTTACGTTCAAGACAATGTTAATTGGGCGCTTGGGTTTGGGATCCCTTGTTTGTTCATGGTTATGGCTTTTGCTCTCTTCTTGCTCGGAAGAAAAACTTACAGATACCCAAAAGGAAATCACAAGGAGAAGAACGCTTTTGCAAGAATCGGTAGAGTTTTCGTCGCAGCGTACAAGAACCGGAAACTGAATTTAGCACATTCTGGTTTGGGACAATATCAACTGGAGGATGGTTCGTCTCAAAAATGTAAAGGTTGGCTTGAGTAAGTTGCGTATACATACCTAAAACTCTTGAATCTTCTGATATTCCGGTTTGGACCTTGTACCTAATTTGAGTGTAATAAAATGTCTCTTTACATTGACTTCAGGTTCCTAAGGAAAGCGTTGTTATCAGGAGAAGGAGGTGCAGAGCCATGTAATAGTAGGGACGTGGAAGATGCGATGGCTTTGGTAAGGCTTATACCGATATGGATCACATCGGTTATAAGCACGATTCCATACGCTCAATACGCTACTTTCTTTACCAAACAAGGCGTTACTGTGGACCGGAAAATCTTGCCCGGTTTAGAAATCCCTCCGGCTTCTTTTCAGTCACTTATCGGCGTGTCGATTCTCATCTCAGTTCCGACTTACGAGCATGTTTTCCTTCCTTTAGCTAGAATGATCACCAAAAAGCCTTTTGGCATCACAATGCTCCAGAGAATTGGAGCCGGGATGGTGCTCTCCAGCTTCAATATGGTGATTGCTGCGTTGGTAGAAATGAAACGGCTCGAGACGGCTAAGGAACATGGGCTTGTGGATAGACCGGATGCAACCATCCCAATGTCTATATGGTGGTTCGTTCCTCAGTATTTGCTACTTGGGATGATCGATGTGTTCTCATTAGTGGGTACACAAGAATTCTTCTACGACCAAGTCCCAACCGAGCTGAGGAGTATTGGTCTCGCGCTTTCTTTGAGTGCGATGGGTCTTTCTAGCTTCTTGAGTGGTTTTCTTATCACAGTGATTAATTGGGCTACAGGAAAAGATGGCGGCGATAGCTGGTTCAACACTAACCTGAACCGAGCACATGTCGATTACTTTTACTGGTTGCTAGCAGGTTTCACCGCCATTGGGTTCTTTGCGTTTTTGTTCTTCTCCAGGCTGTATGTGTATCGCCGGGTAGATTAAGTCCAAGAATGAAAAAGGCTATTTGTTAGTTGTTCTCCAGGCGTTTTTGTTTCGAATCATATTAGACTATTAGTTGTTCATAATGTAATTGGAAAAAGTCAACTATTCTTTCCTAACACACCCTGGATCATGGAATGACTTAATACCAAACATGAAAAACTATACATATTGGTTTGACGAAAGTGTATCTAAAACTTACACCCTGGATCATGACAAGATTTTGTACCAAACATGAAAAGCTATACATAGGCAAGTGACTGGAACGTGCATTACAAGCTATCTGAGTAAATGTACATCTATTAACATCAAACCTTAAGGATCCCTAGAGGGCCACCTATAAGACTTAACTCCATCATCAATCGACATGAGATAGTATTTATTGGTGTGATGAAAGTATATCTTAAATTGAGAGAGAGAGAGAGGGAGAGAGAGAGAGAGAGGACCTGCGACACTTACACCAGAGATATAGGATTAAAGGGCGTTGAGCCTTTTAGAGACATAGGCCTTTGCAAAATACAAGTAGGAGGCTAAGCCAATGAAGCTGAAACAAGCAAGTAGCCAGTAAAAGTAATCCAGATGAGCCTGGTTCAGGTTGTTTGCAAACCAACTCACTTGACCAGATTGGCTCGTCGCTTTCTCAATGACTGATATCATGAAACTGCTGAGAAAGCTACCAATACCGAATATGCTTAAATACAGAGCCAATCCCACGCTCCTCAGCTCGCTCGGGACCTGGTCGTAGAAGAACTCTTGAAGACCCACCATCGTAAAAACATCCGAGACACCGAAGAGAACATACTGAGGAACTAACCACCACACACTCATTGGAACCGTAGCGTCTGGCGAATCGACGAGCCCGTAATCCGCAGCGGTTTTAAGCCTTTTCATCTCCACTAAAGCTGCTATTACCATAGCAAGGAACGAGAGGAATAAGCCTGTACCGATTCTCTGAAGCATCGTGATTCCGCCTGGCTTATGTGTATATGATCTTGCGATTGGGATGAGTACGCGGTCATACAAGGGGAGGAAGATGACTATAGAGAGGCTGATGAAGGACTGGAGGGTAGCCGGAGAGATCTTGTAACCGGGTGTGATTGATCTCTCCATTGTGGCTCCTTGTTTGGTGAAGAAAGTTGGAGACTGCGCAAACACGACCGCATAAACCAAGCAAGTTAACCATATTGGAGCTAGCCGGAGCAATGATTTTGCTTCTTCAAGTTCATCTATACTACAAGAACCATTCTTTGCCACCAGAGCTTTGTTCAGAAAACTGCAGTTGTAAAAAGAACCAAGATATTACTACTTACTATACGGCTTTTTTGTTTTTTTTTAACAACTACGCAGTAACAACAAAAATCAAAGGCGATGAGAAGGTTTCTTACCTAAATTGATGCGAGATTTTGTGAGACATTAGACCAAGGCTTTCTTCTGCATCAGTTACAGCTGAAGCTGATACATTCCAGTTCTTAGCAGCTGCTACATAAACAATTCCAATCCTCGCAAAAGGGCTTTGATCTTCTCTTCGAATGCTGAAGAAGCGGTAAGTGCTTGTTCCAAGCAAGAAAATAATCAAAGCAATTACCATAGCAATGCATGGAATACCAAAGCCTAGAACCCAACTGAGATTGTCTTGGATGTAATTCAAGATCCATAGAGTGACTAAGGTGCCAAAGCACATGCCAAAATACCACCAATTGAAAAAGGAACTCTTTGCTTTGCACTCTTCAGGGTCCTTTTCATCAAACTGATCCGCTCCAAAAGCCTGAGCACACGGTTTGTGCCCGCCTTGGGCTAAGGCCACTAGATACAGGGCACTAAAGAATGTAATCACTTGAAATCGGGGAGAGCACGACGTGAGTGGATTGGTAACTTTGCAGTCTGAAGGAATCATGGCAGATAAAGTTAGTAAACCAAGCCCCTGTTGTTCATCAAATCACTATACATCAGACTCATTCTAGAGTTGATAAACAAGAAGAACCCAGCAAGTTATCCAAATGGTAGACAATATTACAGCATATAAATCCACCAATACACTCCATTATATGAATCAGAATCAAAAGGCTATGCTGGTTGTATGACTCAAGAAAAGCAACTGATTACTGATTCTGAACAATAAGTGAAACTGTAGAGTAAAGATAAACTTCCTTTTGACCAGGGCCGAATTTCGTGGCGAAACAAGCAGAAGAAGAGTTCGAGAAAGCTTCGTACCAATATATAGAGAGCCGAGGCGGCGAGGATTGTTCGGAAACGACCTAGAAAAGAGTCTGCGACGAAAGCACCAAGGAGCGGAAGCAACGACGCCGTTCCATACCAGGCGTTGACGTTGGCCGCAGCAGCCGCCGTCGACTGCCCCAGTGGTCCCGTCAAATAGGTTATCAGATTCGATGAAATCCCGTAGTAAGCGAACCGCTCAGCCACCTCCACGCCTGCCGTCGCAAAGCAAAGCCAGCCATTTATAAGCCGGCGAAGTGAAAAAGGAGAACTCTAGAGTACAAAATTAGCGGGAAAATCGGTAACAATGAAGGATATCTCAGGTAATACCGATGATGAATCCGGCGGATCTCCAGCCCCCAGAGGAAGATCTGATGGCCGGTTTGCTTCTGTAGTCAACGGATCCGTCAACGGTTTTAGCAAGAAGCGGAGTTCCGGCTTCGTCATCAGCGCCGGCGATCGCCATTTCGGTTGTTGGTTTCTCCGAACGAGGAAGTAAATAAATGAAAAATATCTAAAAAGTCTTTGAATCAATCGACCATTTTTGTTTTTTTTAATGCTAAAACCTGTGTGGCTGTGTGGAAAGAAAAAGTTTGTTAGCTTCAGAGGCAAACATTTTTGCTTTTTTGTTTTTTTTTGTTTTTTGGTTTCGTCTTCTTCTCCAAGAATTTCCAGTGACGACTTATTTTCATCATATATAAACAAAATTGGGCCCGAGTCGCAGATTTACTTCGTCTATCTTTTTAAAACCTACATTTTCAAATGTTGTAAGAAAAATTGTACTAAACAAATACATTTTTATTTTGATGAAAAAAAAGGAGAAAAGTGTCAAAATTGTAAGAAAAAGTGTTATTTTGCTTTTATAAAGGATTTAAATAAATTTATCTTTTTTTTTTCCTTCTTTCTATCATTTTACCAATAAGTTACTTCTATTATATTTCAAAACAATCTTTATTACAAAAAAAATAGTACTTATATCATTTTTAATTTCTCTAACTTTTTCAACAACAGCAACAACAACTTAGCAGTTCTTATGTACCAGCAAATGATCAAGGTCTATACAATCAGACAGTAAGGAATTCATTTCAAGAGCCGAATGTTCCTACAATGGTACAATAGAACATTTTATACTTTCACCTTTTAATCAATCTTCAATCTCAGTTATGCTATCTCTAAACCAAATATTTAGGTTCAAATGCAGCAGCAGCAGCAGCAACAACAACAACAACAGCATAATTATCTTTACTTCTATTTAAGTGATTCAGGGACCCTTTGTTACACAATCAAAACGAAAGGTATAACAATTGGAATCACAATACGGTTACCAATCCAAATAATCCTACTCACATAGTGTCCAACGATTCCATCCTAAATTGGTATTATAACTCAAATGCAACATTTTTTTATACTAATAACATTTAAGTAAGAAATTTTAATTAAAAAAACCTTCTCTTTATTTTTTTATTTTTTTTGAAAAATAGGACACCAAACTATATAATCTGGCTCATACCAAAGTGTCCCATTTGCTACGTCTTCAGATATGTACGGTCAGCAACCACCGCTGCCATCGTTATTAGATGACTTCGAAGACGAACTTTTAGCCTCAATGATGGTTAATGACTTAATGCTCTAGCTAGGTAAGATCACCTTTTCCCAAATATATTAGAAAAAAAAAATCGAGGAATTTATAATATAAAATCAATTGATTTTTTATTAAATTTCACTTACATTTTTTATTCTCCAATTTGCTTCTCATACAAAATAAAACAAATACAAATCAAGCTATACGCAGCTTTAAAAGTTATATATTCCTCTCTCAACCTATATATATATATATATATGTGTTAAATTATTTTGCTAAACGTATCGGATTCTCGCATGACCATATCCTCTACAAAGTCTACCAGGGTATGAATTCTAACTCGAGCACTAATCCACAAGATAGTATATCTCGCATACCCAGACCTCAAATGCCTTCGCGCCCTATAAGCCAAGGTACCGAATCTAGACTAAGTGGATTTTCCACGAAAGATAAAATAAGCTTTTATACTCCAAAAGCTTATTTTATTTTGGACCAAAATGATTATATGTTGGCTTTTAAAACCAAAAATATTATGTTTAATCTCATTCAATAGGCATCAAGGTGGCATGCAAGGGTTGATTGATCAACCTTTTACAAGTGGTTTTGGACCCCCTTGCCTTGATACTCAGACACCTATACGTCCATTCATAAATTCAAACATACCTCTACGGGTACCAACATTTTTAATGCGATGAATTAATGAAAAACCGTTATTGTTCTACAGTTAATGTTACACAAGATAATCACTAACCATTACTAATGAGCTCCATATAGGAAACTGGAGGCCAGATCAATGGACAATCTTCTTTAACTCGTCATCTTACCAATATATGGCACACCAATAAACAACAGCGTAAATGTATTTTTATTTAGTATATTATTTTGCATTGATATCTTATATATGAATTACTATACATGCTCTGAAATTTTTATTTATAACATATATCTGACAGAAAAAACGTGGCCTACGAAGTAACCAAAGTCAATTTGAAGATGGAGAATCATCATCTTCTATTCAGCGAAGTGTACGTTTTTCCAAATCCACATTCTATTTTTTTTAAAAAAAGATATAAATCCACATTTTCATTAAAAGCATATATAGTAACAAATAATCAAATCGACAAATGTAATATGAGTTAATTAAGAAAATATTTTTTAAATTTATAACAATATGAGTTAATTGAAAAATGCAGAGGATCATCTTGCCAGCAAAAAATGATGTTTCAGCTGCTAATCTTCGTGAAGAAAGGTTTTTGACTTTTTTCATCTATTACTTTATATGTTTTATATGTTTGAATGTCTGATATTCGCATATAAGCATTTATTAGTCTTTATAAATGGAAACATAACTTTTATGATTATAAACGATACAATCTTGTTTTTTCTTCGACTCAAAGTACGGCTTAATCCTCACTCATTTGAGAAGATTTGATGATATAAGGTAATTGATTCTTAGATGGTGATGACATACATACTAGCGACGTAACTAACGAGAGAGACTGTTGAATTAACGTGCAGATACGTGAATGATGTATTATGCTATTTGTGTTGATTTGCTATCTAATAATATATTTAGCATGCCAATTCCTAATTAATGATTATTGTTGACAGCTTTTTTTTAATAAATAAGTGTATACTTTTCTAAACTAAAAAGTGTATACTTTTGATTTAACTAATTCTTAAGAATTTAACTCGTGTTACTTTTTATTTCAAGTTACCATATAAATTATACGATTCAATATATGAATCCTTCGGCTATTGTATTGATCCTCACTAAAAATTTCGGAATTATAAAAGAAGCGATAGTTAAAAGTTAAGATTTTTTTTAGAGTTTAGTGATAAATTTATGACTATTGTGAGTTTTATACAAATTATGAATCTGAACAAAATTTAAGAACGAAATACAACATTGTAATCTTTCACGGTTTGTTCCTCTTAATCTACAGAGCAATGATCAAACTTAATCAAGCCTTGAGAAGTGAGATGATTTCAGTGGCAGTAAAGTATCAGATTGGAGGCACAACTAGCTATATACTATAAGTATTATGTAATTTTGTTCCTTTTTTTTTGAATTTTTTGTTCGACCGTGCATTTTATTGCCCTTTGTTCAGAAAAAAAAAAGACAATGCATTTTATCTTATTTATATACTAATAAATTTGGAGGTTGGAAGTCTCTCCAATACACTAAATTAGTTTGTTTAACGAATTCTAGAGGTGCTCACAAACTTTTTTTGTAGTTCTTTATGTTTCCTCAACCTCATCAAGATAAGTTCCTAAATTGGATAAAAGTACATGTCTTCATGTCACGACTCACGAGTCGTTGCAGTCAAATCAGAGAAACTCTGAAAACATTTTCGCTCAAAACTTTGTTTTTCATTTTTTTTTACCACACGAACTAATGGCATGCTACTTTTCCAATTATCTTCTCTTTTGTGAAATTAGGTCATAGATCAAACTCTGTGATTAGTTGAATAGGTCAATATGGGGAAAGTTGGAAAGACGAAAACAAGCAAGTATAAACTTTTTTTATCACTAAATGAAAAATCCCACGTCAACTGAAGTAGTACCTGGCCATCAATAATTTGTGAAGACTATCTTCGAATTATTTATTTAAAAATCAAAAGAAATGAACACAGCTAAATCCAATATTTTTTCTAGTGGCCGCAACAACAGCAATGACAAACCAACCAAACAGCTTCGACTTTCTTTTGCTTTTGACAAATTAAATTAAAGCTAACTATGAATGGATAATTCTTGGATCCTGCGCGATTATACTAACCTAACTTGTTAATTTAATACTTTTTGGTTATGTATCGAAATCGACTCACATAATTGAAACATGTATTTATTCGAATGATCACATTAGTAAAAAGTCTTATTTTGGAATGTATTTCAACCAGTTAAATTTCTAGTTTAATAAGTGTTGAGGGAGTTGTTCGCGCACATATGTTCTACTCTCTAGTGGTAGTTTGGACCTTAGATATTGTCTCTGTTGGTTTAATTTTCATTAGGAATTAAAATCATACGCTTTAGAAATTATGAGTCGGGACCGTATATGTTATCGACTGGTTGTGGTGTTTAGTTCTAGCAAATTACGTTGAACCATGTTTGAGGCCAGCTGAGGTCAGGTTGGCTCACACCTGAGATTAGTCATACAACGTAAAGTCGGTTATAAATGAACTATATTCTACTAGTCCGATGTCCTTATCACCCAAAATTATAAAAAGGGTTGAGTGAGTTTAACGAATATTAATATATTTTAAAACTTTACTAATTAACATACGTTTCAAATTTAAGGTCAGCAGTCAAAATTTGTTTCATTATGGTTTTCTCGGTCAATAATCCGTTTTGCTCATTTCGTATAATTCACTTCGCTTGTAATTTGCTTCGGTGTTGCCATTTGGAACATGAAATTCACTTAATAATATTCCTTTTAATTAATTGCATATGAAATGTTTTGTTAATATAATTGTCCCATATGAAGAGTTGTAACGCTGAGGTGTGTGTGGTATACTGGTGTAGGCCTACATGAAGCAGTGCCTACATGACGCAGTCTGTAGCATCTTGACAGCTCCAGAATCTTGGAATTTCCCTGGTAATATCAAATTTTAACTAATATTTAATTTCTACAGATAAATAACAATTAGTTTTTATTTTAAGATTAGAACGCACCAAAATATGGGTCCAAAATTTTATATAACGAATAAAGAAATCATAAGACACTTTCTTTACGTGCGAGGCAGTCTGTAGATGTTTTATCTATGTGTCATCCTCCCATTTCATGATTTATTTTTAAAAAATTTTATAAATACCAAATGAATGAATATTAGTTTTGTTTTGCAGGATAATGAATATTAATTAGTAGCTACGATTAGGAAGAATAAAATTGTGTTCCAATTAGTCGTTGACATGTAATTCTTCTGTAGTTGGATTTGATATTATATAACGATTTCATGATTTGAATCATGACTGTATATAAATACAAGGTTTCTAGAAAGCGTCAGCGTTGCGACTTGCGAAACTTGTGAAAAACATTCTGGTACTTTTTCAATAAAGACATGAACAATTACAGACTTTCAGATTGGCCACACCCTTGTTACCAAAAAAAAAAAAGATTGGCCACCCTAGTTGGATACATTTTGTTATGTTAAAAATCAAAAACTCTTGCATGGCTACCTAGAAGTTAAATTTAAACTCTTACAAAATTATGTGTTAGAACTTACAAATAACTCTTAACTGAACTCCTACAAATTTAACTTTATAGACTTCTAACTACAAATATAAATAAACGAAATGACAACATAGTTAAGTACGAAAATTAAAAATTCTTGCTAGATCATAGATATTATTAAGACAAGAATAAAATTGTAGTTGGAACGATTCAAACTTTTTTTGTTTAGTTCCAAACGTATAAGATATCAACACATATTTAACACTCAGGTGATGATAACATGGTGTCATGATTTGACAAAACTACTTTTAATTAATTTATTGAAAACCCGATTAGCTTTTCTAACACATAGTACATACTATATTTTAACATACTTTTTTCCTCAAACAAAACCAACCATATAATTATCGTTCTATGTCCTTTAATACTTTGTCTAACACATTCAACTTTGTAAGAGTTTATATACTATGAAAGCATGACTTTTGGTATTATGTGCGGATGTGCCTTATAATATATATATATATATATATATATATATATATTTATGCAGTCTATACAAATAACGTTTTAAATTCACCTGAGTTTTTTTTTAGAAAACAGAGTAAAATGAATGAAGCATTCATGAACATTTATGCAAGACTTGGAAAAGAATCAAAAACAAATTATCGTGAGTAAATAACGTGATACATATACAATATCCTTCCATGATAAGAAAATCGAATCAAGAGAATTGAGTGTAACGAATCTAAATTTAAAAGGGAATATGATTAACTACCATTCCAAAAAAAAAAGTTGTTAATTTAGTTAAATTGTTTAAAATTGGGATGTCCGAGTTTTTTTTTTTTTTTTGGGAGAAGCAAAAGACGGCCGTTTGGAGCAAGAAAAAATTAGGACCCACTAAGAAAAGTATCTGAAAATTAGCTGTCGAACAGCTCTGAAACAGTCTGTTCCCTTTTTGCTCTCATAGAACATCTCCTCCATTTTCTCTCTTCCTTGATTTTTCTTTTATAAAAACCTCTGCTTTCTCCTCTCTCTTCCTCTCTCAAATTCTATCTCTCTCTCTCTCTCTGTCTCTCTCTCTCTCTCTCTCTTTAATCTCTCTGATCATCGAGAAATTCGAATCAGTCATGGCTCAAGAAGAGATACAGAAACCTGCTGCTTCTACCACTTCCCCTGTTCCGGCTAAGGAGGAAACTACGGCACCGGTTAAGGAGGAAACTACGGCGCCGGTTAAGGAGGTGTCGGCACCTGTTACTGCTGAGAAATCTGTGGCAGCGCCTGCTCCGGCAGCCACGGAGGAGAAGGTTGTGTCTGAGAAAGAAGCAACGGTACCGGTGTCGGAACCGGAGGTGGCTGCCGAGAAGGTGGAAGAGGTCGCGACAGGGAAGGAGGTCGTGCAAACGGAATCTTTTAAGGAGGAAGGCTATTTGGCTTCAGAATTGCCGGAAGCTGAGAAGACGGCGTTGGCGGAGTTTAAGGAGATGGTGAGGGAAGCTTTGAACAAGCGTGAATTCACCGCTCCACCTCCATCTCCGGCGAAAGAAGAGAAAGTTGAGGAGAAGAAAACAGAGGAAAAGAAGGAAGAGAAAACAGAGGAAGTAAAAACAGAGGAAAAATCTGTTGTGGCTGAGACCAAACCGGAGGAGAAATCTGCTGCTCCAACCGATGCAGAGACCAAGAAAGAAGAGAAATCCGCCGCTCCTGCTCCGGTAGAGACAACACCGGCTGCTCCGGTCGTCGCAGAGACCAAGAAGGAAGAGAAATCCGTCGCTCCTGCTCCGACAGAGACCAAACCGGAAGCCCCGGTCACCCCAGAGACCATGAAGGAAGAGAAACCGGCTCCGGTAGAGACCAAACCGGTTGCTCCAGTCGTGACAGAGACCAAGAATGAAGAGAAAGCAACCACCTCTGCGCCTGTAGAGACCAAACCGGCTGCTCCGGTCACCACCACCGAGGCAAAGAAGGAAGAAGAGAAAGAAGCAGTGGTAACAATCGAGAAGGCTTTCGCAGCTGATCAAGAAAACGCAACCAAAACCGTCGAAGCAATTCAAGAATCGATCGTCTCAATCACTCTTCCAGAGACAGCTGCGTCAATAGAGCCAGAAGAAATCTCAATCTGGGGAATTCCACTTCTCGAAGACGAAAGATCCGACGTGATCCTCCTCAAGTTCCTCCGAGCACGCGACTTCAAAGTCAAAGAAGCCTTCACGATGCTGAAAAACACCGTTCAGTGGCGCAAAGAAAACAACATCGACGAACTCGTCGGAGAAGATCTCGAAGGAAGCGAGTTCGAGAAGATGGTGTTCACTCACGGAGTTGACAAACAAGGTCACGTGGTGATCTACAGCTCGTACAGTGAGTTTCAGAACAAGGAGATGTTCTCAGACAAAGAGAAGCTCGACAAGTTCCTCAAATGGAGGATTCAGTTCCAAGAGAAGTGTGTGAGGTCTCTCGACTTTAGCCCCGAGGCTAAATCGTCGTTCGTGTTCGTTAGCGACTTCAGGAACGCTCCTGGACTCGGTAAGAGAGCATTGTGGCAGTTTATCAAACGAGCCGTTAAGCAATTCGAAGACAATTATCCAGAATTCGTCGCCAAAGAGGTAAAGGCATTTACTTACATTGATTATGATCACAATTAAAAACGTTAAAGTTTTAATCTTTATACGAAACTTTTGGGGGTATGTTTCAGCTTTTCATTAATGTCCCATGGTGGTACATTCCTTACTACAAAACCTTCGGGAGTATCATCACATCTCCGAGGACAAGGAGCAAAATGGTCCTTGCTGGTCCATCTAAATCCGCTGATACCATTTTCAAGTAAATTATGTTTCATTGAAACTTTGTACTAATATAAATTTAATGTTTCTCTTCACACATAAAAGCTTATATCCTCTGTTTTTGGATGGAACAGATATGTTGCTCCTGAAGTAGTTCCGGTTAAATACGGTGGACTAAGCAAAGAAAGTCCGTTCACCGTTGAAGATGGAGTCACCGAGGTCGTCGTTAAATCCTCAGCTAAACATACCATTGAATTGCCTGCTACCGAGGTATATATGATCTCGGTTGTTTAGTAACATTTAGTAACATTCATTTACATTTGTTTTTACATTTAGGCATTGGTTGTTTGTGTTTGTGTGTTACGTTTTGGGTTTAGTATATATTTTATTTCAAGATGAACCCACAACTTGTCATTTTAGGGAAATTTTCTTGAAAGATAATTAATGATGATTGTGTATATCTTGCTAGGCTTGCACGCTCTCGTGGGAGCTTAGGGTATTGGGCGTGGACGTGAGCTATGGAGCTCAATTTGAGCCAACCAACGAGGCAAGCTACACCGTGATCGTCTCTAAGAACCGGAAGATCGGTTTAACTGATGAACCTGTGATAACCGATTCTTTCAAGGCGAGTGAACCGGGAAAGATCGTGATCACGATTGATAACCAGACCTTTAAGAAGAAGAAGCTGCTCTATAGGTTCAAAACCCAAGGATAAGATTATGTGCCCGATCTTTGAAAGAAGATAAAGAAAAATGGTTATTTTGTTATTTGGAGGTGGGGAATTTTAATCAATTTAATTTAGTATTTTTTTTTATTTATGTAATTTTTGAAACCTTCAAAAGGGGATTGTGTTTTGTCGATGGTTTTGATTTGTTTTGGTGATGGGATTCTCCTCTATTGATGATTCTAATATATACAAATGTTTGTGTGCCGAGATGTGACTACCATTCCAAAAAATATTTGGTACATTACTTGACATTTTGAATAAATTTGAACTTATATTTTGTCTTTTCATGTTCAAGAATCGATTCCAATCAGAGTTACGATTTTGATTATTATATATATATATTTTTTTTCATTCCATTTCTAATTTTCTAAGCTAAGGCAACTCTTCTAAGTGAGTTGAACTCTTCATATAAAATAACATATAGTATTGTATTTTTCATATCATGATATTGTCTTGAGTCTTGACATTTTCAAAATCATGCCTGCTTCATTGACACAAAAAGAGGAAACGGTCTACATGCTGCGATGTCTCCACCGCTCCGGCCTCCAATTATATTGCTCCTATCAAATAGATGAATACCCTTCAACATATTATCCGCACAAGATTTGAGGTTAAAGTGGCCTACCAGCTTAAGAAACTTTATTGAGTGATGGCGGATAATAATCCGATGGTAGAATGTTCCAGCATTAGCTAATTTGGGTATTGAAAAATCTTCAAATGAACTTGATACAACCGAGTATCTTCATCGCTTTAACGTTTGGTTTAAGGATATTCTCGTCAAGACTTTGGAATAGTAGTTGACTATAAATAACTATCCATACCCTAATAGTAATACTGTAATATGGATTTCTTAAAAAAAACATTTTCAAATGATAGTATTTTATTCCGCGGAATATGAAATTAATTGGCTCTCGATATATATTTTCGGGGAAAGAAGATTCAACTGCTGCGTTAGTCTCACCTCACCACTAAATGCCAAAGATAGTTAAAAAAGAACCAATACTGAAAACTCAGGATCTTATGTTGAATTCCATTCTCACATAATAACATAATTTATGTCACCTCTAAGTCACACAAACCACCTAAATTATTCCACTTGGAGGCTGAAAGCTGACCCAACATACAAACAAACAAACAGTATCCAATGAAAAAGCCTGCCTTAAAGTTACAAACAGTTTGGAATGATTACATACATATGTATACAATTTTGGTGTAAAGAATATTAAGAACTGGACTAGCAATAATGATATCTGGTGCATAGGGAGGGGACATGCATGGACCAACACAACAACAACACATAACGTACACACGACCATTACCGTGAGAGAAAAATGAAATGCCACACATTTTTCTCAAACAAAAACTGTCAAAATAATCAACCTAAATCTGAGTTTTACCTCGTAATAAAAAGGAAATTAACTTTTACCCATATAATAACAGTTTGCATACAATTCTTTTAAGGTAATAATAATTTAGATTCAAATCATCAGTGTCCGAATTCATGCTAATATCCGAAACGGACATCCTTTTTCGGCCCTATTTAACATGAGGCCCAATAATTCGACCCAAATTTCTTCGCTTGCACAAAAACAAACCCTTTTGACTCATTGAGATCGAAATTAGGCGAAAAGTGAATTGCGGAAGAACAATAAGAAGGAAATTTCTGAGAAATCGAAATCGGAAAGTATTGGAGTCACGAAATGGAGAAGAAGAGTAATAGCGAGTCCGATGTCAACGCCAAATGGGACACCTGTCTCGATCTCACTGCCCGTCGTGTCGTCTACTCTTCCCTCGGCGGCGCATTCGCCGGTCTTCTCTTCTTCAGTTCGGTGTTTTCAATACCCTCTCCTCTTTACTTATGGTTTTAATTGCGTTCACTTACACATCGTTTGATTACAAATTAAGTTTCTGGAGATCATAATCGAATAGAGTTCTGATTCAAATAATCTTAATCCTGGTCTATGATTCATGTAGTCAATTTTTGTGTGTGTGTAGGGAGTCCTGTTACAAGATGGGCGTCGATTGCTTTTGGTGCCGGAATCGGTATTGGCTCTGCATACGCAGATTGTTCTCGTGTATTTAATACATCGTCTTCAACGTCAGCCACTTTATTAGCTCCCAAGAGTACAGAGACTTCTGTATCTCAGGTTAGTCGGAAATTTCTCTTATGCTTTACGTCATGCCTTGATTGTGGGAATATCGATTACATAGAGTTTCTCTGGATCGATTTGATATTCGCATTTGGCACAAAGAGTGGAAGTTAGAAATGATGCTGAAATTAGAATGGTTTCCATAGAAGCTTAAACGATAGATTATTTGGACCTATGGTTACAGATTCGTGCGATCAATATGTTATCTTTGCTTTTTTATCTCTAATTTCACATTTTGAGCATTGCATGTGAGAGTATTGTTGCTGTTTATCTCACTAGCAAATAAATTTGCCAGATTTTTTTTTGTTTTGTTTTTCATAGTGTCGCGCTGGAAAATGACTAGTAATAGTTACCGCCTTACTCGATAGGAATCAAGGATCGAGAACTGTCTTTATTTCTCAAGAAACGAGAGAACAAGTTTAGGGTTTGTTTTTAGAGATCCTAAACTCTCCCAAAGCCTAAAGGCTCTCAAAGAACCAAATGGTCAAAGATCCCTAACAAGTTCTCCCTCACCTCTATTATAGTAGTCCATCAGTACCTTACTTCACCCCTATCAATGTTACTAAGGTTTTGTTTAGAGGTAGAAAACAGTTTGAATCTTTTGCCAATGTGTACGAAAATTTGTAATGATAGGTGTGTCATTAAGTAAATAAAAAGTTACTAATCCAGTCATGTTTTTTTTGGTTTTTGATCTTGTTGATTGATTCCAGGCAGCGGAAGAGTAAGACAACGAGGGAAGTTGAGGATAAACCCAAAGATTGACGTGTGTTTAATACAAGAGTTGTTTACATTGTTATGAAAATGGTTGCTGATCTTGCAGGACATGGCTTTTGAGATGTATATGCCATTGTCAAACCTTTTGCTTTTGCAGTGGTTTTGTACACACTGATGTCAAAAAAATGTTATTTTTACTTCTTTTCGGAAAAATCTTATTATTCCCCCGCTTATGCAGTTGTGCTAATGGAGAATTCTCGCAGGTGCTTAATCCAACAAAATGATGCTTTGGCACTATATAAGCCGACCAGTTCTCTTTGTGAAAAGTTTTTGGTTTGACCTAGAAAATTTGGAAAACCATACCGAATATTAAACGTACAAGTTTCAAAGCGGCGTACCGGGTTTGAGATGCCTACTCTGATTTCTTGGTGAGGCAGCTTTTTTCTCACCTTTTATATCGTTGTCTTGTCCCCTAAGAAATACCGGGAGAAAAATCAGTGTAAAATGTCACTATGTTTGTTGTTTGATCATTAGATTGTAAATTTGATATATATCACAAGGAAAATTTAGGGATAATTGGCAAAATACAGTATTTAGATAATTAAATTAGTAAAGATCTAATCGAGCCCTAATCTACACTTTTCATAACCAAAATAGCCTCTTCGCAGCCACAGATTCGCCCTAATCTTTTTTCTTCTTTTTGAGTCTCTCGATATCTCCTCCGTCGAAACCATGAGCAGATTCGGCGGTAAGATATCTCTCTATCTCTCTCATTGTTGCTGGAATTTGGTTTTTGTCTATGTATCTAGGTTTCATCAGATCGATCTGCCATAAGTTAAGACTATATATTAGAAGATCAAATCTTCGGGTTTTTTAATGGATCTGTTTTCTCTTCCTCGCAGTGCATAGCACACACGTTTACTGGGACGTGGACCAATGGAAACCCGATGAACATAAAGATCCTCGTTTGGTTTATTCTAATGTCAAATCAGCTCTTCAGTTTGAGGGTTTTTGTCCTGGCCCGATGTCAATCCGCGCTTATGGTGACAAGGCAAAAACCTTCTCCGACGATCTGACTACTGAATATTTTGATGCCGGAATCGACGTTGAAAACAACGGTGAATTGTATTTTTTTTTTTTTAAGTTTTTTTGACACTTAATTTTTCCTTCTTTTTTTTCTTTCTTCTAACTTGTGCATATGTGTATATATGTCGGTAATCGAGATTCCAGGGGATCAATATGACAGAGTTCATGAGATGTTGATTGACATGGTTTACTGGGCCTGGAACAACAGTAGAGGAAATTTGGTTGTAATCTCCAAAATCTAACAAGACACGGAGATGCTCTATGTTCTTAAAGCTTTGGCAGAGAGAGGTCACTACGTTATGTTAGCAAGTCCAGGGCCTGGTTTTCATTCACCAACTACCAACGAGATTGAAAAATGGGTTTGGTATTGTCCAAACCTTTTCAATGGAGAGAAAAGCGACTTTGCGAAAGAGCAAGAGGCTATAATAGAGAGTGTCTTCCCATCAGGAAAGCAAGATGAAGAGGAATGCTGTATCGATTATTAGACTTCTTTGAATTTTCGGATAGTCTTCGTATTATTGATCCGATTGCAGTTTAGTATTATTCTTCTTAGATATATAGCCCAAGTTGTTTCTACCACTTCAAATTTCAAAAAAAAACATTTCCTATATAACCATTTCACATGCTCAAGAAAATTGTAACCATTTTATGTTTCGTAGCATGTTTACAGATTCAAGAATGCATATCTACATACCCATCGAATCTCCTCAGGTTTGTACTGAATCCTCCATTTCAAGGTTTCTTTATGCATTTCAGTTGCCTTCTGATATGAACCTTTGTTCACGTAAGAAATATTTAGAAGATTTAGGCAAAGTTTTTCTCTTAATCTTAGTTTCTCTTGGAGATTTAAGATTAGTCCTGGGAAGCTGATTTCTTATTAATCTATAGAAACCTTTATATAGGATACAACTACACTTTAACTAAAAATTTAGATACAAGCTAACGTTAAAAGGAAAACGCTTAAACGTAATTAAAAAGGAAAGTATCAAAATCAAATGTAACACTAAAACTGATTAAACAAAACACCCACCCTAACAATTATCACGTATCACTTTCTTGACATGGCCATTACGCGCAGCTAAATACCGCGTAGTGGTATCATCCCAACAATACTTAGATGAGTTCTCCCCCATGGCCCTAGACCCTAGTAATGTCCTCACTTCATTGATCTATATTATAATAATATATTGTTAAAAGAAACTAACATGCAATATAATATTTGATTCAAACATCAAATTATCATCATCACAGAGCAGCTAATGCTTCCTCTTATCATCATCATCATCATCATCATACCTTGTTTAGAAATCCACTTGAAGACGATTTCTTGGAACCAGAACTCATCTCTACTGAAATTCAGAATTAAATTGATTAGAGAGAAGGAAAATAGCCGGGACAAAACACCGGCCACACCGGAAATAGTCTCCAGGAGGCGAGGAAAAATGGTTAGGATGAGCCATTGAGATGGTCAATGATATGTTTATAGCTTAAATAACCAATCGAATAGCTCAACAATAAAATCCATCTTTTATCAAATTTATCGAGTTGTTTAGTCGTATTTATGATCTCGTCGGTTACAAATGTTTGAGAGAAGTTCAATTTTTGCGGCCATAGTTGTAAAATTACAAGTGTAGCATATGATATACAATTAATACTCCTTTTAACCAATCATCGTCTCTCACAGCTATACAATCAGCTCCGCGTCTTTGCCTTGCAGGCCCCCACACATGTTGATGACGCATAATTAGAAGAGTTTGAACGGCTGGGATTGAATCTATTTCTCCACTATAGCTTAATCGTTCGCCACGTAACCGATATAATCATTTTCTTAATACTTAACTGCTACGGAAAATTACAGTACATAGAGCGAGGACGACGAGAGACTAATAGCAGAGGAGGAAGAAGATGAATACGCCTCCGGAGATCGAAGTTTGTTCGATATGCCATGGCCATTTCATTGCTCCTTGCCAAGCTAATTGCTCCCACTGGTTCTGCGGTGCGATCTCTTTTATTCTTTTGCTTTCTCCGAGTTTCCCTTTTCTCCTCCTCTCGAATCGCTTGGAATCGGTTGTAGTTTTCAGTAGTTATCCAAGGAATCGAGTGTAGAATCTCAGTTCATTGAGTTTTGACGCTCTTAAAAGTCGCTTCCTTAATCTGTTCGGTTTTCTCTTTTCGACTTGTATATTCGCTATTCAAAGTGCATTCTGGGCTGGAAATTCGCAACTCTTTTCATCGAATGGATTATGATTAGGTTTGTAATTTAGTTTGGAGAAAGCTTCAGGTCTCGTTCTTCTGCTTTTTAACGTTCCTAGGATTAGAGAATCCAGGCTAATATGATTGTTAGTTATATACATGAAATTTCAGGGCATGATCCGACTCCTTGAATCTTTTCAATCATTGCAGGAAATTGCATTATGCTTGTTTGGAAGCATGGATCTACATTACGGCCATGCAAATGTCCCTTGTGTCGTCGTCCAATTAGTTTGCTGGTTCCTTCTGAGGAAACATTGAGAGGCCGGAATGACACTGCGGTTTCTGAGGTTCTTCGCGATGTTGAAACTTACAACCGAGTCTTTGGTGGTCAGTCAAGTGGTCTAGTTCAGGTATGTGTTTCATGAACTGATTATCACTGATCAGAGCCAAGTTTGGTGAGAAGTAGAATAGTTGTTGAGGGTATGTGTTTAAGGAATTACATATTGGCTTAGCTCTTAAGTGTATGATACAAGGAAATATGAACTGTTGCTTAGCCAGGAAAAGCAATTTTTCAGTTCAAGGATTGACTCTAGACTCTATAGTAAGGATTTTGTTTAGATGCCAACTTATTGTTTTCTTTAACTTTCGGTGGTTTATTGCTTTTCTCACTGTTCTCTTCGCCTTAGCAAGTCAGGGATGAATGGTTACAGTTTCATCATCTTGTTATTTCTTTTGTACAAATTCATCCATCTCATAAGTTTGACAAGAAGTAAATCTAGAGTTTACTGGAGCCTTGTCACATGAAACTTCACATTGTGTTTTGCAGAGGATGCAAGACCTTCCCTTCTTACTCCGAAGGTTGTTGCGGGAGATGATGGATCCACGAAGAACGCTTCCACTGGTCATCAGAGCTCGTGTTTATATTGCGGTTAGTTAAAACATATTCATACTTGTGAACCCTAACTAAGCTTATCTTGCTTTCTGCTAAAAAAAAAAAAACTCACAACTTTGTGCACTTGATCACATCTGAACTGAAAAACAGCTGTGACTAACGCAAATTCACAACATTTGATCTGATGCAGTTGATACTCAGTGCAATTTACATAATCAGCCCAATAGATATCATTCCGGAAGGTGATTCCTCATTTTCATCCCTTGATTACAAATCATATTAGTACACTCATAGCCCTGATCACCAATACGTTAATTACCAATACTTTGTATCTCCATTACTTGTCAGGATTCTTGGGGGTTATCGGATTACTAGATGATCTTCTCATAGCCCTGATTTGTTTCCTCCATGTTGCTGCTCTCTACCGATCCGTTCTCCATCTCCGTCATGGAGGTTCTGGCTCATGAACCTCTCTGAAGTTTTCAAATCATTACGCCACTACAGTTGAAGAACTAAGTGACATGGTTTACTTGTTTGGCCATTTCGTCTTGTGTTCATGGTTTGACTGGTAGGAGACTTGGGATAAAACAAAAACATTTCTTTCATTACAGTAGAAGGTATTGAATTGGTTGAGTAACAAAAGAAATCGGTAAAGAATATGTACATATTTTCATTTTTTTTTTATCTCACTTTTCTCAAGAAACCCAATTTTATTACTTCCGCCTAGACAGGACTCGCATCGCCGGATCGAAGGTACGAACGTTCACCGGCATTGTTCTTTCCGGTGAATAACCGATCAAACGGTGACCTTATTGCTAGAAGCAAACGTTTTGGTGGACCAGCAGGCTCCTGGTAATTACCACCGCCGCCATCAGGAGACTGGATCGGACCGGTTCGGTACGGAGGTGTTATAGAGAACGGTCTTCGGTCAAACCGACCGTCTTGATCGAACCTTTCAAAGTAGAAATAGTTTCTTTCGGTACCTAGGCTTCCGGTTCTGTACCCTCTTATCGAGCTCCTCGCTTGAGGTAACGCCACATGGCCTTTTGATCTTTGGTTCACAAGCTGATCGTGCATCTCTTGGGGTAATCTTAGCGTGAACCGGTCAAAATTCTCTCCCGTTTGACCGGTCGGACTTGACTGGCTGAATAATCCGGCTAATTTCCACCCAGTAGACATTGATTTGCGTGGCATGCTCTGGTTACCTGACGAAGCCACTGAGTCAATCAACCGCTTGTCCGGAGAACCCAAAATCTGGTTATCATCAGTCGGCGTTCCCAGAGAGTCCTCAGCGGTTTCTCTAGCTAGACCGGGTATCTCGAAAGAAGCAGACCCACCCGGTACAGGAACAAGATTGGCGCGACAGAGTGGACACGTGGCGTTAGAGCGTAGCCAGGCATCAATGCAACCGGGATGGAACACATGACAACATTGAGGAATCAAACGCAGCGTTTCTTCGTCCTCGAACTCATTGAGGCAAACGGGACACTCCAAGGCTTCTTTGCCGATTCTCAACGTCTTCACGGTGGAGTAACGAAACGTAGGAAACGTTTCTATGACAGACTCGTCGAGCCCACGCGCCGTCTGTCTCATGTTAAGCCAGTTTCCCGGGTCACCAGATCGACCATCGTCGATCCCTAGAGCTTGCTCGAGACACCTCCGCATGCAGACGGTGATACATCCAAGTACGAAGAAAACGCTGACGAGTACGATCATGACTATAGCCGTAGCTGGATTGAACCCTGACCCTTCTTCAGAACCGCCGCTTTGAGCGGCAACGAGCCGTAACAGTAGCAAAAAAGAAGAACAGAACAATAATCGTGACATGACCACCATCGATGGTAGCAAATGGTTGAACAATCTGATTTTCGTGATAAGTTATTTGACCTCCCGGTTTCATGAGGACCAACAAAGCTTTGCCGCTATGGTTTCCCCGTGAAAGAGTTTTTTATAAAATCAATTTCTTCGTCTTTTTTCTTTTTGTCATTTTTTTGGGCTTTGGGAAGAAAACAAAAAGGAGCAAAAAAAAGCGATGCGAAGATCATAGGAGATGAGATTATAAGAACGTGTGAAACATTAATTAAGAGGGAGGTTGGCTTTTCCTTAGCTTAATGACTACAAGATGGTTGACTTTTGCAATCATCACAATATACCACCAATCAAAACATTTAGATATTTGGATAATGATATCTAAGTTATTTTTGTGATGGGTAACTCAATTTACAACGATACAAATCGGATAAATCAACTGATTTGGAGGGAAGTGGTCTTATCATTATCAATTAAAAATCCCAAGTTTGATTGAGTCTTAGTTTAGTTGATTGAGATTATATAGATATGTACATTTTTGTATTAAGATCTAAGATTTGCAATACGCTTACATCTTCGTAAAAGACTAAACTTAATACGAGATCAATCGTATCCTTATTAAGTCAACTCCAACATGGATTTTGATTTAAAATGAAAAAGCTTGATGTGGTCTTACCATAGTGGCATAGTAGGTCAACGCAGCTAGACAATGATAAGTTCGTAAGTGATCAATAAATATTTTAGCAATTGGTGATACATTTGCATCATCCCATGTTGTGATCACGTCGCTTTCCAACTAGTTACTAGTTAATTCTTCGTTATTATTTTAATGGCCTTAGTCTATATATCTGATCAATTTGGTGTGGAGTTGTGTATATTATTAAGATGCCATGACTTGGACGATGGCCCGAAATTGTAGAATATATGTTCTTGATTTTTTTAAAATATTTCTATTGTTGACATGTTCTATATTATATCAATATACTATTACAATATAATTGAAAAAAATTAGAGAGAAACTCAAATGAGATTTCAACTTCTTAAAAAAACAAACAACAATAGTCATATTTTATTATATTGTTTTAAGTATATTTGCATAAGATTTGTGATTATTAATTTCTGTTTTTGTTGGGACTATATGTTAATATAAAAAAATTATTTTATTAAATTTAATATATTTTTACATTAATTGAAATAAAAAATTTATTATCTTATAATAATTATTAATTTATCGAATATTAATTTATATAAATTTTATTATATCTTTCTTATATATAGGCAGTATTAAACGCCTAAGGGTTTTCAATAGATTGGTCGGCATCTAGAGACCGTCGTGTGTGGTGGATCTCGTTGTATCAGTGGTTGTAGTAGTATTACAAAACGTCAAAACCTCATCCTTGGTGTCTTTTTCAGGATGGTGGGTTGTAATCATTTGTGTGCAAGCGGTACTGCCTTGGGATTGCGCAGTGGTGGAAAGGTTTTGCTTGTCATTCCTTTTTGGTCTTGGTGTTTGTAGGATTAAGCCTTGTTTTCCTTCACTGCTGCTCGCTCTTACCATATATTTATATCTCTTTCTCTCTTTTGGTGTCTTCCGATTGTTGAGATTTCTGTTTTCCTTTTTGAGGCTTAGGTTTCTTCATTGGGTTAGGTTTCTTTCTTCAATGGGTTAAGTTTCTTTTCTTCAATTAAATGAATAAATTTTGGTGGGAGATAGAGCTTGTGTTTGGGGGTTTTCCCCTTGCTAGTTCTTCATTTTTGAGATTTAAGCTTAGCTGGTTGGTTTGTTTATCTTGTTGTGACGATTAGAAGATTTTTGCAGTTTTTGTTTATCTGACGGTCTATTGAGCAAGATAAACTTGACAAAGGTAAATCATACAAGGAGGTTCATCAAAGTCGGAGAATGGCAAGTTTTGTATTTGAGTTATGGCCAAATATGTGTTAGGAGATTATCTTTAAAACATATTGTACGGAAAAAATCCGAAACAAAGCTATAAATGGTAATTATTAATGTATCATGAAAAATCTCATCCTTATCCATTTATAGGTTTAAGAAAATCCAATGATTTTCTTTGCGTTGATTCGTTTCTCATGTCTTGGCAGTCTTGCAATCCTTTTCAAGCAATATAATCAGTCTCGGGTTTATAATCGATATTTACAGTACTATATAAGTCAGGTCTTATCATCTTCAAACTTATCTCGTTTGGTGAAAGCTTTTTAAATATGGTGTATCAGTTTTTTTGTCCATCTATTGTATATACTTAATTATGATTTCTCTAAAAAATAACAGTTGGGGATCATTTGTTGATGACGAATATAATATACCATGGCAATAAAAACATAATCATATAGCATCAGCTTTAATTTTGTTCGACTACAAAATACGTAGTAACATGGTAAAACTTAATGTTGATATTTTTTCTTTATTTTGGAGTAATTAATTGAAGTATATCCGGTAAAGTTTGTTTGCATGCATCTCTTTCTAAAGAGTTGTGGATTGTTTCTCATTTGTTTTTGTCAGGATATATTAACTCTATTCGTAAGGAAAACTTATCCATTCAGAAAATGTCACAATGCCAAGAGTTATTGTTTTTGCTAAAAATCAATATTTATTGTTCATCAGATCATGCAAGATTTTGTGTCGTCTTCTTGCAGTTGCTCTTTGGGATCGTTGGAAGACGTTTAGTGGAAAGCAAATAATATCTCTACCATAAACGAAACGGTAGAAGTTGCTTAGGAAATTAATATGGTGCCAAGCATCCATTTATGATGCTTGACATTCAAATTTTGTTTCGTCTCCTTTGCATAGCTTGTTATAATACTCGTTTCACACTACTAATCACACTTATTCAGTCTTATCCGTTTGTTTTGTATATTACCTTCCAAAAAAGCACTCATCAGTTTTTCCGAAAAAAGAAAAGATGACGTCCAGCCATGTGAATGGAAAATTGAATAAGTCGTATATAGAGGAAGAATACAATGGAAATCTATAATCCGATTCGACGGGGTAGGCCTAGGGCAAACATAAAAGGCTCATTTGCATAAGAGGTATTTTATATCCGAACAAGCCCAACAAATTGTCGTCGGCCTTCGTTACACGCCCTTATAATTACCCCGTACGTTCTCATTTCAGGACAGATCAAGAAAGACAAATCTTAATTAAACGGAGAATGATATGTTTTAAGTCAAATGAAAAATTTCGAAAATCTATAATAAGTTGAAAAGGTTCTTTCAAAAAAAAAAAAAAAAAGATAAGTTCGTGAAAAATATAGATCTGACAATGTTTCAAATGTCTTGCATCATATCACATAGGAGGAAAACGGTTGTATTTTTTAGTTTCAAAATATCTGAATCTCTAAATTCATGAAAAAATAAGAACGGCTGCATATATCTAAACTCGTAACAAGTACATTAAAAAAAAAAAAAAACCAAAACCTTACAAATTAGAAGATACACATAATTTTTTTTATCTATGTCGATCTTTAAAAATACAAAAGTATACATAATTATGCTATAATTTTCTAAGAAAATACAAAAAAAAAATCAAAATACACGGGACTTAAAAACCGTTGAAGCTAGAGGATCATATCATAAATGGAATTAAGATGAATGTGGTCATGTTTATCTGCAGTATATGAATCTCAATATAAAAAGTAGTCTATTTATGCTTACAGAGAAGGATTAGATCCATGGAATTTGTGCGATCAATTCTCGTTTAAATATATTGGAGATCTATGGAATTTTAGTCGACATTGCTATCTGTTTGTCTGACTTTGTTTGTCTCAAGATTAAGTTCATCTCTAGAGAAACTAATGTTATAGCTGATTCTATTGTCAAACAGCTTCTTTTGTAACCTGGCTGTAACTTGATTTTCCGCTCAATATAAGTGGTTGCACACAAAAAAAAAAATGAAAAAGAAAGAGAGAAGAATTAGAACATTGTCCCAAAGGATGGTGGGAAGAATGCATACAAAAAGACTCGCTTCTATATTATTATTTTTCCAATTGACACTTATATATAGTACACATATACACACTCTTCAATAAATAAATAATTAAATTATTATATAGAGTTATTGGATGCTGTTCAGCTATGGACATCCAGCCCTACAAATCTATTTGCATAGTTACAGATGTACAATATCTACATACAAGATATGAGGGTGTGTCTAGTGTTGAAAGCCTATCTAATTGAATACTAGAATATATAAAATTCAATCATTCACTACTTGACCCAATCTCGTACTTTTGCGTTCTATATAAGAGGCACGTAATATCTAATTATCTATCCCACCCCTATTTTTTTTCTTTCAATGAGACAGATCGATAAGCTGTTTATGAATGTTAACTTCATCTCTTGATTAAGATTTCTGTCTTGTATTAATTTTGCTAACCACTAGTAACTATTGAAAGATGTATATTAACATTATATTTCAAAAAAAAAAAACTTAGTAAGAGATTACTTTAAGCTTGATTGGTATGAGAATAGTCCAATAAATCAATAGCGTAAACATTTCCAGAATTATGAAAACGCCAAAAATTCTGGTTTTAATAGATTTATGATAGTGATTTGTTTCGTTTTGATTTTTCAATATGATCAAAATATATAACAAAATTAGTAAATTACTATTAAAAATGTAAATATGTAAAAATTTGATGAAGTTTTTTAATATTAGAAAGTAAAGGAATCACATTTCTAAAACTTTAAAAAGATTGGCATATGATTTGTTAAATTATCTTATTATTTCGAAAACATGTGTTAGAGTGTCTCATATCGAATGAAAATAATTCAACATAGTATACTCTATTTATTGTCAATTAGTTTAAAACTGAAATTACATAATTTCTTACACAGTATTACAGCTGAGTGAATCCAAACAGATAGTATGACATATATCTAAGATATAGTAGGGTTTTTTTTTTCAAAATTTATTGTGATTTGGTATTGAGTTTTTGGATCGGTTGTATTATGCACATCCTGCTCATAATTCCCTGTGCAAAGTTTCCTTTCAAACTCTTATACGTAAGTGTCTTTTGCCAGATAAAGCTCAAACTCCGGGACAGCCAAACTAGTTTTCGTAATCGGCGAATAAAGTCATTTAATTACTGATGCTGATTGTATGTATAATTACAACAATAAATAAATTAGGTCAAACATTGAGAAGTCTAAAAATGGTAGGGAGTGACGTGGCAGAAGGGAGAGTTAAAAAGGTAAATAATGAGAAGTAACGTAATGGTTGGAAGCGAATCTTGAAGTCACCGAGTCACTCCAACTGCATACTTTCA